CTGTATCTACACGCCCATAGGAAGCCACCAGAGCTCTTTCCTGCATACTTGGATCACATGGCGCTGGGACCTCAGATTCACCTCACTATACACACCAATCCATTGGGACAGTTGCAGAAGTCGCATTGCTTGTATTAAAAGCCTCCGTAGAGTAGTTCATTTTCGACAGTCGATTAGGAAGTGCTGCACATTCTCTTGCACTCCGCCTTCGTCAGAGTGCTTCTAGTGGGGCGTGATGTCGTGTCACCAGGTTAATTACACCAGCTTTTGAACGTGTCATGTCCTGTTGCTAACTATACAGTTCAGTCACCTATCGCTGCCTGCCCATCCAACCATATGAATAACGCATTGGCCGCACCCTCACGCCTCTGCAAAGACTGCCGCCAAATCGATTTTCAAAAGGTGTTTGATTTGAGTCCATCAATTCTGCAAAATTTTGACAATAGGAACGGCATCTTCATCGCAGACCTCGGGTTACGGGTGAATCGACCTTCTGGAAGCGACTGTGATCTGTGCCGAGTGTTTTCCAGCGTTCGTATCTTTGAAGAGGACCAATCTCACACCTCGCAGAGTTACCAGCTTCGTGCCTATTCTCTCCTCGAGGACTGGTGGTCACAACTTCCAAGTGAGCTGAAAGAAAAAGATCAGCCATACCTTGCTGTTGTACCCTCGAATCTTGAAGCCGATGAAATCAACATCAGTGACAGAACTCTAGAAACTGGTCGCCTGTTCTGCCTCAATATAAATGGAGAGATGCACAAGTATGCATGGAACTTTTTGCCGCACGTTATCCCTCCCTGTTTTGACAGCTCCACTGCACAAGAGTGGCTGGAATACTGCAGGTTAAACCATACAAGTACTTGCGACAGCACCGAGCAACGCATATTGGGATTAAAGCTTATTGACTGTGATTCACGCACCCTTGTAGCCGATACATCACTGTCTTCATATGCGGCTCTCAGTTACGTGTGGGGCCCGAAGGGTAGTTGTGACAGCAACACAGTCTACACGGACAAACCTTGTAGACTACCGTCGTCGCTACCTGAAGTTGTCTCAGATGCTATCACGGTTACAAAGGCGCTCGGACTGCGATATCTATGGATCGATAGATATTGCATTGATCAAAACAACCCGGAGGAAATGCATATGCAAATAAGTCAGATGGATGCAATATACAACAGAGCAGAGGTTGCTTTAATCGCCGCGGCTGGGGATGCCAATTTTGGACTGCCTGGCATTGGACGTCGACGAAGAGACCAGCCATCTGCGAAATTCGGAGATATCATGGTCATCTCGGGTATGCCTCACCCGAAGAAAGCCATCGCTTCCACAAAATGGTCGACGAGAGGTTGGACATACCAGGAAGCTGTACTTTCTCGACGACGTCTCGTTTTTACAGAGGACCAGACTTATTTTGAGTGTCTCGGGATGAGGTGTCATGAAAGTATGCAAGCCTCTCTCAGTTTTCTCTCAACAGAATTCAAGCCCGGTCTCCCTGGCGGTCTCGATGCCCTCGTTCCCCTCCTTTCCATCGGCAATGCATTTCCTACTTTGTTTCCTGTGGATCAAGATGGAAAATTGTCAATGCAGTCGCATCTGCGGAGTTACTTCACCCATATAGAAGACTACTCAGCAAGGGAGTTGTCTTTTGAAAAGGACTCTTTCAGAGCCTTTGCAGGCATTGCAACACAATTTGAGAAATCCGAACCCCACTTTTTTCATCTATGGGGTGTGCCATTCCTGCCTGGTGAAGAGCTATGCAAGTCTTTAGTCGCCAGCTTGATGTGGAAGCACCAAGAAAATAGCGGGTGCACATCAAGTAAATGGCACCGACGTTCTGGATTTCCTTCTTGGACGTGGGCCGGGTGGGCTGGGAGAGTAAAATTCCTTGTTGAGAACACCACAGACGATCTTTCAATTCCTCGGTACAATTACCAGAGCCTCCAAGTGCAGGTGAGAGAAATCTGGTTAGATGGCGGAGAAGCCTGTCAACTAGAAGCGTATTCCAACGCCATTATGGGAGTAACAGCTCAACCTAAGTCTTCCTATCCCCAAGCGTTACTTCTTTCTGCTTTTGCGGTCCCTCCGGAATGGATTACTATCGATTCATCTCTAAATCCACCTACATGGAAGATTGACGATTGTCTGGCAACTCTGAACCTATCCGAAGACTCGGAAGATTCCACAACGCTTTTACGCAGGTTCAGCACGCGAGAGTGGCAGTTACTGCTACTCGGGACAGGACAAATGTGGGAAATAGAAGCGGTAGTACTCGTCCTTTTGGTTATCGCGAACCATACAGACTGCGCTAGCCGTGTGGGCTTGATGAATGTGAAGTATACAAAGGGATATCCTCAATATACGGATATGGAGACATGCTCAGTCCGTCTCATCTAATATTATCTTTACTGGAACAGCCCACCCCCCGGCCTTCAAGCTACGCGAGACCATCGCCGCGTCGACTAGCGACTTCCCCGGCTTATGCTACGCTGCGCTGCCTTTGAGACCTCTCAACAAGCATTAACTGGATATACAGCTGTCTTGGGTCCAGACCACCGTGCTACGCTATAAGGCCTTCAATGCTTGGGGAATATATATCTCGATCGGGGGAAGTTGGAAGCTAAAGATATATTCCAGAAAGCCCTAACAGGGTGAGAGAAGGTCTTAGGTCCGCAGGACACACAGACACTTACCAGTGTCCACTGCCTAGGGAATATCTACGGGGATCAGGACAGACTAGCAGAGGCAAAAGTAATGTATCAAAGGGCACTTACAGGCTGGGATGAGCTTTTTAGTCCTAATCATCAAGTCACTTTAACAACTGTTTATGGCCTCACAAACCTTTACAGCGATCAAGGAAAACCAGAGGCCGAACCAGTATTCAAGAGAGCTTTCACAGGATTCAATAATATTTACAGCCCAGTCCTTCCTTCTACACTGACTATTTTCAGCCGTCCAGGTAGCCTCTATGGAGATCAGGGCAAGCTGAAAGAGGCAGAAGAACTGTGTAAGCAGGCATTATTAGGATTTGAAAAGCACTGTGGCCCAAATCACACATCAACATTAGCCACTGTTAATTGCCTTGCAAATCTGCATAGACAACTGGGAAGGCTAAAGGAGGCTGAAAACTTATACCAGAGGGCTCTAGTGGGGAGAGAGAAGGCCCTTGGTCTGGACCATATAGTAACTCTGTCAACGGTCAACAATTTGGGAAACTTATACCGGGATCAAAGGAGGCTAAAAGAGGCAGAGAAAATGTATCAGAAGGCAGCTGCCGGGAGAGCAAAAGCACTCGGCGCAGACCATAGAGATATCAAGATCAGTGTTGGCAATCTGGAGAGCTTACGCAAAGATCAGCAGCGGAGAAGGATATTTCTGGTTTTTGCATTGGCCGGGCTCTTGCTTGCCGTTCTTCTTCCATGGCTTTTTGGCATATATTAAACCTCAAGGACTGCTTGAACGGTTTATTTTCCATACATCTTCAATAAATAGTACTCTGACATTGATTAGCCTTGAAGATTGCCATGCGATCACAGGCTGTGTGGAAAGCCACATCCAGCCGGCGGTACTGTCCATACCGAAGCATGTTGGTTTCAACCTCGTGAGTTGCAGAAGCCTGTCACGGACTAGCCTCGGCGTGGCGCAGAGATCCCATATGTACACATGGACACGCTCTTGCATACTGGTTTTGACAAACGTAGCCGCTGTATACTGCCCCGTCACTGCCCTTGATAGGTAAAATCCAGGGAAGGTTGAATGGATCTTGGCCGTTTGATGTTGAGATTGAGTCGCTAGGGATGGATGAAAGGAAGACGGAGGAGTATATGAAGGGACTGAAGATTGACTTCTGCCTGTTTGAAAGCTAGGAGCTGGTAATCTTCGGCGGACTCTATAGACGGTAAGGGTTGTATCCTACACCCTCAGCGTCAATTTAAGGATCAACGTTCATTTGCGGGATTCTTCAGTTCCCAATATCGCTTACACCTTGAATGATGCATGATGAGTGGCAGCATGACAGCTGGACTGCAAATTAACTCTAATTCTCCTGTTGGTGGAAAACACTGCAGTTGCATTGGCATTATCCCGAGTCACATCCCAGATTCAAATATAAGATGCTGTGTAGTCCACTCAAAATCACATTCATCTACCAGTATTTTCCACACAGATCACAATGCGTCTTCCCCTCTTTTCATTCTTCATCCTCCCCCTCTACGCCCTGCCGACCCCCGGCCACTCCCCCAAACCACCCTTCTTCCTCCTAGCCGGGGACAGCACGACAGCCAAACAGTCCTCCAACGGCGGCGGCTGGGGCGACGGATTCCTCAACACGACCCTCTCCCACGGCGCCAGCGGCCTCAACTATGGCCACAACGGCGCCACGACCGTCAGCTTCCGCGCTGGAGGGGACTGGACGACGGTTCTCAGCAAAGTAGCCGAGTACAAGGACCGCTACACGCCCTTCGTGACCATCCAACTTGGCCACAACGACCAGAAACCCGCGGCAAACATCTCCCTCGCGGAGTACACCAGCAACCTTGAACGGTTCGTCTGCGAGGCGCGCGATGCAGGCGCGACGCCCATCCTGGTGACCCCGCTTTCACGCCGGAACTACGAGACTTCCAATGTCACCGGCGAGTCTACTATTATTCTGAGTCTGGCGGACCAGCGCGCAGCGACTATCACGGCAGCGAGGAACTCGCATGCGGCGTACATCGATCTGAATGGTGCGAGTACGCGGTATTTGAATAGTATTGGGCCGGAGAAGGCGTACACGTATAATCTCAATCCGGATGACCGGACGCATCTGAATGTGGAGGGCAGCATCGTGTTCGGGGGAATGGTGGCCGAGTTGATCGAGGGGGTTTTTGCGGGGTTGAAGAAGGCGGGGTATGTCAGGGTCGATCCGAGACTGGAGAGGGCGTTGGATCGGGGGGTTTATTATTGGCCGGATTCTGTTGATGACAGCTAGCTGTGGTGTTTATAGATGATGTTGTTGATGGTTAGATGTCAACACAAATAGCGTCCCGTCTCTTTTCATCGCGAACTCCCCCAACTGCAGCGGCATTCACCACAACAGTCATTCCACATGGATCTCTCGGCCGTATTAGCAGTAGGAGTGCATGCCACAGTAAGATGGTCAAATTCATCCACTTTGCCTCATCCATGATGCTCTCGTACGCTCGTTGAAAATCGTCCCAGTACAGAGTCTCCTTCCCATAAGCCCCATGGATATGACCGAATACATGCAGTAAAGGTTTCCGTTTTACCGACCATAACCAGTCCCGAAGGAATTTACAGCCATATCGTCCCAGATCTAAATGTGTTTTCGGAGGACCGTGTGTAACCAGAATATCAATGTCCTCAGGGATCCGTATCTTGTCCCAGATATTCTCATTACGTGGATACTGGAAAGCCCAGTTCCCGTGCCGCGGGGTGTATGGGGACACAAACACCTTGACGCGTCTGGAATCCCCAAATTGAAGAATTGTCGATGAGTTCTCCAGATACTGGATAGATTTCCAGTCGACTGGCTCTTTGTGTCCAGGTGATTGGGCTTGAGCTTTGGGATCCAGACACAGTTCATGATTCCCCGCGATCGCTACCTTGAAGCGATGGGGCTGGCGATCGAGCCATTCGATCTGCGCTTCTAGCTCTGCTTGAGTACCAGACTGGGTAAGATCACCTGCATGGATGAGAAGATCTCCGTCCGGCAGCTGAGGCTGAGTGTTGTGAGTGTCTGAGATGCAAACCACGCGGATGGTTGGGCCATCATGAGCAGTGGGCATGGGCATCGGTGTTTGAGTGAATCGGCTGTAAACAAGTTCCGCAATTGCAGGCACCGGGGCCCTCAGCAAGCGTCTCCAGATGCTCTCCTGCTCTGGACGACGCAGAAGAGCATCTAAGCCCGATGTACTGAAGGCCATAGCTCTTCTAAAGAGATATGTATTCTTAAAGTCTGTATGTAATCTCTCAGCATGACTGTAGACGGTACAATGTTTACTCATACTGACGTCAAAACAATTGCAGTCGAGTCACATCACTATTCCTAAATAGTTTTGATTGAAAAAAGTGCCGCAAAATAAGCAAATGGATTCGTAACCTATTGGCTTGATGGTGACAGATGATGCTCTATTGATTTGAGGAGAAACGACAATACGCCTTACTTGTTGATGTGTCCTGCTGGCTAATTTACCTGATTGGGCAAGTCGTGCGTAGTTGGACCACCTGCCTATTTGAGCATAGACAGCACGTATATAGCGTGGTGGATCCTCCAGTGACGAAGAACTTAAGAAGCTTACAATCTTCAACTTCGCACATAATGGAGCCCCTTGAAGTAGAGACACCTCATCTTCAAATCCCCAGACTCTACCTCAAACTCATAAGTGCCGGTTTCTCTTTCTTTGTAGCCGGCATCAACGATGGCAGCCTTGGATCTCTAATACCTTATATCCGTCGAGGGTATCATATCGACACAAATCTGGTCGCTGTAGTGTACGTCCTTGTTGCATCTCCAGGCTTCTTCAATAACAGTAGACAGATATGGCACAACATTCTGCGGCTGGCTTCTCGCCGCGCTCTCCAACAGCCATCTCTGCCAGTACCTTGATTTGGGTGTCCTCCTCGTCCTAGGGGCCGTCCTTCAAGTTCTCGCTCACGCCCTGCGGACCTGGCTTCCTCCTTTTCCATTGTTTGCAGTCACCTTCTTCTTTGCGAGTCTCGGCCAGGCGTATCAAGATACACACGCCAACACGTTTGTTGCCTCTGTCAAAGCCGCGCATCGATGGCTGGGCTTTATTCATGCTATGTACATGGCGGGGTGTCTGGTGGGTCCATTTGTCTCGACTGCTGTGGCTTCAGTTGGTGTACATTCCCGGTGGAACCTGTTCTATGCTGCCCCGTTAGGACTAGGTGTGGTCAACTTGGTTCTAGTGGTAGTTGCATTCAGGGATTCGTTGAGGATGACGCAGCGGCTTGGTGAAGCTTCTCCAGAGACAAGGAAGGGGGTGTTGCAGGAGATGCGACGGACTGTTTGCACGTCTAGTGTGTGGTTGTTGAGTCTGTATTTCTTCTTCTTCCTGGGCGCTGGCATTACCGCTGGTGGTATGTGATGCTCCCTGTGCCTGAAACAGTACTGATCAAACAGGATGGATTGTGGAGTACCTCGTCGATGTGCGAAACGGAGATCTCAAGGATATGGGCTATGTTCCTGCCGGCTTCTATGGAGGAGCCTTTCTCGGTCGACTCATTCTAGCTGAGCCAACCTACCGCTTGGGGGAACGACGTATGATCTTCATCTATGTAGTGTTACGTGTTGGTCTGCAGCTGATATTCTGGCTGTACGTGTTCCTTCCTATGTGATGGCATTTTCTGACCGGATAGGGTGCCGAATATCATCACGGAAGCAGTAGCCATCAGTCTTTTTGGATTCTTTTCCGGTCCATTTTTTGCCACGGGCATATCTGTTGCGTCCAAGATCTTCTCGGCGGAGATACGTTCGTCTGCACTCTGTACGTGCATCCTCGTCTATGTAGAACCCCGTTGACCAAATGATCAAAGCTCTTGTGTTCGTGCTTGGCCAGGTGGGAGGATCGATCTTTCCAGCCGTCACTGGCATTCTGGCAGCTCATGCTGGCGTCAAAGTCTTGCAGCCCATCCTGGTGGGTTTGCTAGGGGCCACTGGGGTTTCCTGGTTGATGGTTCCAAGAGTGAGGCTTCACAATGAGTGATTAGCCAGACCCCTGATTTGGTGTATCTAAATAGCAGCTCATGTATATGGCAAGAGCATGGAGATGCTGGTTTAGGTGGTCAGATAAAGGCAGGCCCGCCTCATAGTCTGCAAGTCAACTGAAGAAAAAGGAAATTAAGATAAGACTTGATCAGAGACACAACATAGCTTTTCAGGATATCTGAAGAACTGTAGGACGAATATCAGAACTGGTTGTTACCTGGTAAGAGTAGAGAAGACTGTCTCGCAGAGAAGGACCCAAGTGGGAATGTCGACCAAAAGCAGCGAAAATCCGGCAAGCGGCGTGTATATTGGCATCTATAAATGACTTATTTCAGGTCCTGATTCTGTGGGCTGCAGAAGATCCGCAGTATAGTCTGGTCAAATGGTTCTACGTGGCCAGCCCTGTTTAATATCAGCTAATCTACGTTCACTATTGAGGCAGCAAAGGAATTATGCAGGGTTGGGATTTTTAAGCCGTACAAGTTTCAGTAGTATAGCTGGATTAATATTATTAAGTACATGATAATGGTTCATGCCGCAAAATGCATCATATTGCTATCCCCGAGCAGTAAGAATGTCTCATATCGGATACCATTCTGAGGAGCAGTCTTTGGAGTGAGATCAGGAGAGACCATAGCCCACGCCTGTAGCAAGGCCCTCCAGTAACATGCATCAGCAGCAGCCGTTAAATAGCGTTCCCGAAACACATTCACACTATTACTTGCAATGCGTTGAGCTTCAGCAGGGTTATCAAGAAGCTCCTGTATCTTCTGCGGCAAATCCGAGAAATCTCTTTCGACCTGGACAAAGTTTTGCTGTGGCCCTGAGGAGACGAGTAGATAGTGATGATGCTGGATGTACTGCAGTTTATGGATAATAACAACTGACTGACACGCCTGGCGATACTTGAGCGACGCGGAATAAGAACGCCCTTCTACATGCGCAATAAACTTGTAATCGCAGTGCTCCTCCATGCTGAGGAAGTTGGCCTTATTCTTCCACTCCACCTCCTTCACATCACCCCATGCATAGTCCCGCGCAACCTCGAGCAGCGTCCGCCGCAGTTTCGGCGCAAAGCTGAGCTTCCCGCGCCACACCAGCTTATCCTTTTTGTCGTCCCAGGGGACTTCTCGCTGTCGGACATGCTCAACCACCTGGTCGTACGGTCCGATATTGCTATCAAGATGTCCCCAGGACCAGAAGCCAAAGTCCGGCATGAGCCAGACGGACTCTTCTTCGGCCTTTCTCGCCAGAGCCCAGAGAGGATGGCCCGGTCCCGCGACATCTTCCACTTTGTCCTCAATTGAGAAGATGAACTCTGTGTCTGGGATCGCAGCGAGGTCTGGTACTGAGATCATGGCGCGATGGATTGAGCTCAACACTCCGATGATTTTGCGTCGGTGGTCTTCCCCCTTGGCGAGAGCTCTAATGACGTACAGACGCCCTTTATAGACAGCAGCTCTGGCCATGCCATTCGTCATTTGGACATTGTCGAGGTCAGCCCTGCGTATTCCATTCTTAGCCTGCCAGAATGTCTGAGCGCGGGTAGGATCTTCAAACAAGCCAGGGAAGAAGGATTGGCATTGTGTCTCATTGTAGGAGTATTTATTCGGATTGAAGGTGATATGAGGAGGCGAAGGGCTCTGAGGTAATGTGGAAGCAGAGCACTGGAGGCAGGTATCACATTTAAAGACAGTAGCAGATTGGCAAGCACAATGGCCAGCAGGAATCAGTTGGTTAAGTAAAGGATGGATGTTGTCTTTGTCTGAATTGACGCCCAGCCATAGTGTCCATATTGAAATAGCAAGAGCTGCGACGAGGCCCAGAATGAGTAGCTGGCAGGGATGATAACTCAGATATCGGCCCATCTCTGCATATCTTGCTCTGTAGCTCGGAGCAAAGAGAGATGAATGTTACCGCGGGAGACAGTACTTCATCACCTGCAAATTGGCAGAACAGAACTAGAGAGGGGGAAAAAGGACAAAGCACAGAAATGTAGATAGGGATATTGCTAATAGGGGTATGGTGAACCATCTCAGTGTCCGCCTGCACACTAATTTAGCTCTAGCCCTAAGTGTACAGCAACATGATTGACCGGTATCATTACTTCTTAGATATAATCCAGTGTTTCCATCAATCATATTAACCAGATGCGCGTCGGAGTACCTTGTCGCCGTGTCTAACATTTGGACCCTGGACTGGAATCCCGTACGATTGGGTGAGAAGCCATCTGCGCCTCATGGTGGACGTTTTAAAGTCTATAGTACATGGCCAATCCTATGGTCTGCTAGAAGCACATTGTTACATCGTGTTTTTAGTTCTATTAAATAGCGCTATGCAGTGAGTCATGGAGATTCATAAATGGCGGAGGCAGCAGACTAAGAACATGAGCTAGAAACCCCTGTTAGGAGCTATAAATGTTTAGGAAACCACTGTCCTACAAGATTAACTTCTTTCCAATCTGGACCCCTAAAATCAAGAGGACCCTGGCATGATCCACATGCTAAGCTCGGGTTGGAGGGGTGTAAATTAAGACTGCCCCGTATCTCTCCGGCGCTATGCTTAATCTTTCTAAGCTTTGTCTTACTAAAATGGCACTTACTATGCACTATCCTTGGGACTGAACTGAAAGCAGCACTTAACACTGGCCCACTCGGGTACCCTAAACCCATCTAAAATGTAGGGCCATATACTCTGAAATTTAGCCTAGGCTACATAGCTATCTATCTTGTAATATTGTCTTCGGTTAAAGTGAGAAAGTTTTGATTAGATCCTCTCCTCAGCCAACAATATCTTAGCTCTCATTTACCTATAGCTCCCATGAATAGGATACAGCTTACCTAGGTTACCACTAAACGCTTTCCTACTACTACTATATAAGGCTCTCTGTGCTTTAACAATAACAAGCTGTAAAAGTCCCCTAATACATATCTTAAGCCTACTGCTGTTATGTTAGCTCACTAATCTCCCCAGTGAGTGGGAAGTTTGTTATTCAACATAGTATCAACTAGACTAGAGTGAAAGGTAGCATCCTTAGGTGTGTTTGACTGGTACAATTGCCAGTTAATACAAGTAAATGTATTGGTTACGTCCAATCATGCTTGAAATACTGGTCAGGTCTACTAGATCACCCTGTCATGCATGGCGACAGAATGCTAACCTAGGCTAGGAAATTTGGACTAAGTCTCTCGTAACAGTATAGTATTGTTTTCACATATAGTGGAGTTAATATGCACATACTTTGCTGGTGTACTTGGCCATAGCTACCATGACTAGGTAGCAATGAATGAGTAGCGGAATTATAGACCCTATGAGTTTCCACTGTGTATAGTGCATATCCCAAAACGAGGACTAAGGCAAGTAGACTGGTTAGGTGTGCTACAACTCGTATTAATATCTGAATCCCTGCAAGCGGATACACCAGACAGTAGCTACATCCTCCTGGCACACATTAGGCGAGTACTAGAATACCAAGGTAGCATTCAGGATGCATCCCTTAAGGAACGTGTAGACACCGAGGAGATAAACCCCGACCAACTGGTCTATAAAAGGTCGTCAAGACCCCTCGAGAACCAGCCATCCTGATCACAACAATACCAGCATTCCTGACAACAATAGCTCCTTTTTCCTGTCAAAATGAGATTCATTACTCTAGCTTTCGCTTTCGGTGCCCCACTGGCATCAGCCTTCATTGTCCCTGAACCAGAGGACAGCGTCGAAACCCCCGCTGCTTGGCCATTCGGCGTAGAGCTGGCACTGAACGCAGCAAGTTCTATCTTCAGCTGCGCGGGCTCCAGTATGTGTGGCCATTGGCCAGGCCTCCTTGGTTACTGCGACCAAGCCGTGAACTCGATGCTCCCAGGTCAAGAATTCGACACCAGGTAAGACTTTACCGTTCCTTTCCCGAAGTTATCACCAGACTCATCATTGTCTGTCTCTAGTGGAGGTCGCACGGGTAACTGCTGGGCAGCTCCTTCTGGTCTTGGTTGTGGCGTCTTTGTTGCTGGGCCTTCGGGCTGCTACAGGTCTACTGAGCAGATCCAGGCGGCGTACCGCAACATCAGGGCAAATGGATGCCATATCTGTGGCTGGGTTCAGGATGATGATAATAGGGGCGATGCTTGCCAGGTTAAGATTGATTATGTTACGGGCTGTGACAATCACTGGTAGTCACATATTCATGTGGGAGTGTCAGAAGTGTGGGCCGAGTTTTGGTAGGGACAGCGGAAGATGCGTACAGACTTTTTGGTTCTAATGTTATGCTGCATGGCTTTAAACTTAGGTATCTGTAGAGACAATGTCTAGACAATGCTTGCCGCCCATGGGGTGTAATCCGGATATGTTGTTTGGGTGGCTGACGAGTGTTAACCCGCTGGTTAATTGACCGGTGGCGACGATGACGAGCTCAGTGTATACCACGAGGACTACTGTGACGGAGTCTTTGACGACAATGATACCATAGTTCATTCGGGTTATATTTGTTCTACAATGTTCAGACAGTGATGGAAATATTAGTATTGCCATCGGCGAGAGAAGAGGTGAGTCTTTTCGGCAAACATCAATATTTTTTCTAAAGTACTGGGTACAATCTAGGCTTATTGGTTCATTCTGTTCACAGGGTGGTTGGCGGCTTCGCTATTATAGGCTCTGTTGCAGATCTCGTGGGCCAGTAAGTTCCAGTTCAAAAGCCCACGTGGCGGCACATGGACAGTTAAGCGCCGCTAATCCATAAGGCATTACACAAGCAGCATGCCGGCCACAATAAGAGTGACAAGGCCGAGAAAGGGTCCGTATGCGTGGTTGATCGCACCGGCACCAGTCTGGGACGGCACAGCAGCGCTTGCAGTGGCCGATGAATTTGGCGAAGTTGCGTTGGCCATGCTCAGTCTGTACACTTCAATTCCGGCCTTTGACAGTGGAACGACCACCTGGTTTGTCACGGGATCCACAGCCACGGAATGAGCGGTGACATTGTCCGTTTTCAACGTTTGCAGGAGGGTGTTCGTCTTTGCATCGACTATTGCAAGCTGTGGCATTGGGCTACCCGACTTGTTAGCCCCAGCCAGATTCTGATAGGCTGAAGCATAATAAAGCGATACGCTGGGATCATATGCGACTTGGTCAATGCCAGCCACGCCTGAAATATTGCCGATGACCTTGCCGGTAGAGATGTCAAGGACCAGACTGTATGCCACTCCATAAGTAAGGATCTGATCCTGGCTACAACCGACAAAGAGGTTCTGGTTCGGTCCAAAAATAATGCCAGCTGGGACACATTCGGCTACTGGAATCACTTTGGTGATATTCATAGCCGAGACATCGAGCTCGGCAATTTCACCGCCGGGGTTTGCATCAGTACTGGGAACAGAAACGTAGAATTTTCCGTTGACGGAATTGAAAGCCGGCTGCTCGAGACCGTCTGCATTATTGAAAACAATCTTGCCGGTCACATTTCGGGTCTTGGCTGAGATGACGGTAACAAATGGGGGTTTATCATTTGGGTTCGTGACGACAATAGTTTGTGTTGTGGGATCGTAGGCAAACTCGTCTGCTCTTTTCTGGGAGCCAGTGACGATACTCGCTACAATGGTATGGTTCATGAGATTGACCACTTTGACGCTGCCGTCCCCGTCCCCAACATAGAGCTCGTCGCGGTTGGGCAAGACGACCAGACCGTCAGGTCCAGATACCGAAGAGTCGGATTTGTTATTGGTCATTACTAGACCCTTGAAACCAGTAATCGCCGTGGTCTCTTTGCTGGAAGCCAGATCAATGACATGTACAGCCTTGTTGGTCCGGTCAGCCAGGTAGTATGTCCCATTATAGACGACACTTTGATCGACACTGGTTGCATTCTTCGGACTCCACGGGATTGTGGACGCGAGCTGATAGGAGAGCCCGGTCACAAAAGCCACATTGGAGAAAAGAAGGAGAGGAGAATTGAACCTCATGTTTGAAACAGGCAAAAGCTTTATGATAGAGGACGAATAAACCGAGGACCCGGGTTGGACATGAAAGTCTGGACTTGTACAATTCCAATTCTAAATTCCAGCTTTCTGGAATCTGGGGTAGTTTTATATATCTGGATTCCAAGGGACATGGTCGACTCCTTTCTCCGGTCGTATACCTTGCCATGTTAGATTGTTCGCTTGACGGAATGAAGTACAGTGCATATTACTGGTCAACTCCGTTTCAGAAGGACCATCATCTGCTTCCTAGCGCAAATTATTTACTTCTGTGGCGTACACGAGCCGTGCATGAGGGCAGAAATTATGATCAGATCGGAATCCCCAGAATGCCTAGGAAAATGTGCGATCTCCGGATATCGCCAGTTTAGTAACGACTACTACTCTGTAGGTACTACATACTCCCTACTGAAGTCACTGCACAGGCCGCTTACCCCGCCTATCATCCCCAGATAATGGAGATCCACGGTCCACCCCCACGAAAAGGAGGTTCCTAGTTCGGAGCGGAGAGGTTCCGTAACCTAGGTATAATTACCAAGTAACCTTGTGGGTCTTAGCGTGGAAAAATAGGTTTTAAGCTGATAAGTATTAATTATTATGATGTTTTGTTGAAGATATTCATAGGAATTGGTAGTGTAATTGAGCCCTAGTAAGTAGCCAGCCAGCTATGTTTAGGGAACTGCCGGCAAAAAGAACTGGTTTTCCACTTGAGTTGCTGAACGTGTCTAAATGACAGGTTGCGGAACCTCTTCCTATGAAACGCAATAAGTTCCGATTCCAATATCTCTAATGTCTTGATTCTTTAATCCAGGAATTACAACTCGGTAAAGCTCCTGCACGACCCTCTTCCCCGCCCGGTAGTGCGCTGACTTGCCTGGGACGACAGTAAGGTAGAGTTTACGGATTCTTTTGCGCGCATAAGATCAAGCTTTGTGGAGATGGGAGGCTGTCGGACTTTTCCCGAGTCGAATTTTTTTTTTTTTTAAGCCAATAAAACGCACTTTTTGAGAAAATAAGTGGACTGTGCTCCTATATCTCAGAACTGAAGCTAAAGAAGTATCTAGACTATAGTCTGTTTTAGTTGATTAAGGTTTATGAGAATGTCTGCGGACTATGTATTTCAGTTCTTTCATTCCGAGATTCGGAGAGGATGATGCTGGAGATTTCTAGTAGAGTTCCTGAAAATTTGTCTGACGGCTCCAGCAGTAGCTCGGGCTATCTAGGGCCATGCCTGGAGATCCTCTTGCGCTTCGAGCACCTCACTGAAGGCAATCGAGTTGTATATTTGGGAAAATGCAGCTGCAACTTTAGGCTAACGTATTCCTTGCTGCACTAGATTCCTTAGAAGGCTGTCTTCCGCTTTTAAGTATGGCTAGGCTTGGCATGGTAGAAGACGATGTATATTAGGATCATACAACAGCTGTGATGAAGCTTCGACTCGAGCCATATGTCTTGTTCGAGGTCCTGTGGCCGTTCTGACACTGTCTGTAAGGGCTATGTTGTCGCGAGCCTTTTCACACACCTGCTGCACTGAACTATTCCTACTTCAAGAGGATTTTATTTTTTATAAAAAGCTGCTGGGGGTATTTGGCGATGTTGGACAGCTGTGGTTCCGCTAGCTGCTCTTGTGCTTGGTGAGTCTTGGAGAGAGATACATTAACGAGAGTCCTGGGTTGTCTGCTAAGTCCTCTGCAATACTTAGAAGGGCGATTGACTTCTGAGTCTGCTACAATCAACGATTTGCCGTCATCACCGCAGGGATGGGGTGCGGTAGGATTAATGCACCTTATTGTGCTCTCCATATTGTCGCTCGAGATAAATCTTTGCCAAAGCATTGAGTATTCCACTGCGCGACAGATTCGTTCCGCCACAGGCTTTGAGAAGTCTCGGGCGTTCCGGTATTATTTTGGGCTGAATTTTGGGCTGATTTCAATGGCAACACGCCGTTTTCTATGTATCTCCTGTTTCATGCGTGCTGGCGTTCGGATCACTCTTGCTTGCTTCCGACGGAGGAAGCACCCACATAGCCATTATGCTACTAGTTAGGCTGCACCAGGTTAATCAGGTTGATGGAGTGTTGATTGATTGGCGAGGGGGTTGATATTCTAGACACAAGTGCGAGTCGGCCGGCATTAGGCTCTGTTAATAGAAAAGCAAATGGTAGGTCTAATATGCTGTTTCCGGTATTTGAGATAGAGGCTTATATAGAATAAATATACCAGTCAGACGTTCCAACGAATAGAACCGTTCCCAGTGACATCTCCTGTGGCTGTGCCTGTGAATTCGACCGCGGCGTTCCCACTCACCCTTGCAGAGCCACCGCCGTTGACATAAACATAGGCATTTCCGCTGGCCCAGACCGTGCTATCACCATAGACGACCGTATGGCTATTGCCGCACACGATGACATGGCCGCCGCCATGGATTGTCACACTTGCGCTAATATTTACATCTACGTAGCCTCCGCAAACCACGGCAGAGTTGTTCCCGTAGACATACGATTTCTGAGAGGGCTTCCACTTCTCAGGACGTATCTCCTTCCCCCTCTTATAGTTCTTTGTGAACTTTTTAAGTTCCTTCTCCCACTTCTCCTTCTCCCTCTTCTCCTTCTCCCTCTTCTCCTTCTCCCTCTTCTCCTTCTCCCTCTTCTCCTTCTCCCTCTTCTCCTTCNCTTCTCCTTCTCCCTCTTCTCCTTCTCCCTCTTCTCCTTCTCCCTCTTCTCCTTCTCCCTCTTCTCCTTCTCCCTCTTCTCCTTCGTGGGCTCTTTAGGCACTGTGGAGTGTTGCTTCACAACAGCAACCGATGGGTAGATCAGCGCTAACGTCTCCTTGTCGCCGTCAGAGAGCACAGTATTCTGAGGGACATCCCTCAGCCCGCTCTGCGTGTCTCCCCTCGCGATAGCGTAATGCATAATCGACTTTGGATCGTACGCCCGGTCCCACCTGGTATTGATGGCGCTATGCGTATCATCGTCGTAGTTGCGGCGCACCATATCCAAATCCCATCGACTCCTGTTCATAAGTTGGCCGTAGTTCCACTTGGCCTTGCACTGCGGGTGCTTGTGCTCGTGTACCAGGCCCAATGCGTGCCCGAACTCGTGGAGTACGTCGGCTTGCACCTTGTCCCGAGCGGCGTCCTGTGTCGGCAATCTAGGGTGCATATTGAGCCACATGGTGGGCTGGCCTGGGTAGGCCTCGGCTTGACGTCCGATATAGGCTTTGGAATGGTCTGTGAATAGAATACGAATGTCGGAAGGGCTTGTGTCCCATTCTGATAGGAACTTGAAGCGGAGGCGCATGGGGATAGAGTTATAATGCATTCTGACCAAGGATTTGACCGTACTCTGTTCAAATTCCCCCCCGTTTAGAAAACACACATTGAGAACAAGTTTGTTAGGCGGCCAGAACCCGGCCGGTGGCCCCGCACCCATCTCTTAGCTGTTTGCAGATTATCGTCGAGTTCACACGGATAGCGACTAGTGTTGAGAAGGCGAGCTGAATGGACCAGTCAAACTTTCTTTGGCAGTGGTAGAAGGCAAAAATGAATACATGCTGAGTTGCGGATAAGAGTCGGACTCGAGGAGTTGGTACGTTAACGCCTGAATCGCGGGTGGGCACCAAAACCCCTGACCGGAGAGGGATGTCGTGACTCACAGACAAATATATATCAGAACATGCTAAAATTGCATAGACTAGTTTGCATTCAGGACGAATGAGGTCAGACGGAATCGATTCAGGAGGGGATTATGATCGTTTTTTTGAAAAACCATGTGGGAGAGGCCAGGTTGAAATACCCCTAATGTCAGCCTGTTGATTCAGCGATCCTTGGTGGTTATAACACCGGGATCGCAAGTTGTCCCAAGATTACATAGAAATACCAAGGGAATGTGGTCTCAGATGTGACCAATCAGTTATTAGTGGTAAGTAACCAACCCCTTATTCTTATAGCATTGATCATTGACGAAACTCGTGAGGCGGTTCATTAAGGGCCAAATGAGCTCAATTCGCCCTATTGAGCAGAGCCATATTGGAGAGAACATGAAGGCAATATAGAGAACCGTCCGTTCCCTCGCGGTGCTTTTTCCCCTGGCCCGCGTGAGCCGCATGCACCTAAACAAGGTGCTTTTCTCCCTGTCGGAGCACTGCCACTATTCAGCACACAGTCACCAATTATTGCAGCCAAGGACACTATTATTGAGCCAACCTTTGCCGTGCAACTAGTCGAGAAGCTATGATACAAATATTATATCTGTTGCGAAAGTTGGGCGTTGGCTCATGCAGGCCAAAGGCTATGGTACTGTATGTGTTCAACAAGGCACTGTGAAAGCAAGGTAACACAAGGCTGAAAGCAAGGCAACACAAGGCGATCACTAGCATCCAATTCCTGTTCCCGCAAGGACAGACGACACGACAGATAGATGCTTATTGGCCATTTGCTAGTGAGCTGAATCTCCAGCCCATGGTGGTGATCCAGCCAGTGCTCTCCGATGGCAGTGTGTCACGCTATCAGCCAATGACCTGATTTCCGTTGACGCCGATTAGCCTTTTCCGGGCGGTGCAATCACATTGAGGTGGTTTTCACAACATAAGTATATGATTTATCTCAAAATCTGGTCTATAGTCTCGTGGCTGTGGTTCAGCGAATAAATACAATTGATAGGTGATAAAGAGTGTATACTCAAGTCAAGACTTCTTTCTTTACCCTGTGAAAAGCCAACACAATAAACCCAAGATGTACATACATGACTTCTGATCCAGACAGGCCCTCTAATTTACCTGCACTGACCTGCACTGAGTTAGTCAGATGATTCACTGTTACAGATCAGGCTTATCTACCAAGGTATTGACCCTGCACTAGAGGAATCTACATAAACCCTGCACAAAGCAAAGGATGCACTAATCAAAGATCAACTTGTTATTCACACGTCCTTGTGAGAAGAAATACAGACTAGGAAACTCATTAAGGAAACAGAGAACGTCTAAGTCATAATTATGTCTACTTACGGATGATCTACTTATACTGGAGAAGGAGGATCCGCTTCTTCTGGAGGATCCACTTCTGGAGGATCTTCTGGAGTTAGTAACTCCCATGAGCTATCCTGCTTATTTGACTTGGACTAATTGAAGTCCATTTGCTCGGAATAGGCGAAAACCTATGAAGGGGGATATTATGTAGGTGACTGCCACGTCCTATCCTGCTTGTGTGATCTGCGTGAATTAAAGCGTGTTTACCGGGAATAGCCATCTTCTGGATCTGGAGGGAATACTGGGTCTTATATTGATGACTCCACTCTTCTTGGACCAAATGGAGATGGAGTAGGTTACTGACACAACCTGCCATGTTCGGGCGGCCTGGGTTGATTGAGGCGTGCTTGCTGGGTGTAGACTAGATCCTACAGATCTACTACTGGACCTAGATACACTTCCGCTACTACTGGAGGAACTTATGGAGGATCCACTTATGGAGGAAATTCTACTACTCGCCAGTAGCAATGACCTGCTGGCCTTTGCGCCAGCTTTGGTCGTCTCCGTTTCCTGGGTTGAAGGAGGACTCGATTGCTTCTGCGCATCTTGATTATGTGGCTTGCTTTCGATTTTGTCTCCTTCGTTTGATACCATGTTGACCCTGGTTCTCTCGTCCTTCCGCCGGCTGCTAGCCGACTCCCCCAACCTCGGTCTTGGTTTTCCAACTGGGTTTCCCAAGATCTTCATGCGAATTCAGAGGTCCACCTTTATTAAGACTGGCAAACGCTTACGTTATATGACCTAAATTTCTCCTTGATATTCTCTCCTGTCGACCTTCCAGCTGTTACGCACGACTGGATGGTCGTTGCTACGTTAGAAGAATCCTGGGTTATACTTGCCTGTGCTTCTCTGTCTTCCACAAAACAGTGGCATGTGTGCCTGCCAAGCAATTCCGTAACCACAATTAGCTGTGGAGCTCCCAGCACCTAGGCGATAGAATACGCGTATCTCTCATTGCCAGATTGGGCATGAGACAGCTGTTCTAGAACTTATCCATCCCGATGAGTTATTTCTCGTAATCGGATACCTCTTATCTGGCTTTCTCTCTCGATGAAGACCTCACGTGCTTGATTTCCTCTCAAGAGGAATCTCACAAGAATTCATTCCTCTTGTTGAACGTCTTCTGAGCCAATCTTCCCATATCAGATCCCTCCATATGGGGACATAACCATGAGCATGTACTCATGAATGGCATTATGTGACATAACATATGAAAACGTCTAGATATCCCGTAAATCAACATAAGAAATGCCTCTTGGGTGGTCAACTGCTCTGAGAGGTCTCACACATGGCGCAGTAACTCACATTTGTGCAAGCCTCTCAAGTTGAGCCATATATTCGTATATCATACCCAGAAAGGAATTTAAGTTCCCTTGAATGCCATAGAACGGTGGCGCTTGGTCGGAGACCCTGGCTCGGATTCTGTCCGGTCTAGATATACTGGAGATCCCGATGCGGGTGGTGTTTACAAGACGGCGTATCGGGAAGACCATACCGAAAACAGCAAAACTAACCACAAGAGGGAATTCACAGGTCCTCGCTTTACAGAGCAAAATTCTCCCTTTGGGATTCGCATCATGTTCGTGCTTCATAAGCAGACGTAAGCTCGTAACTCGATCAGAAATCCATAATACGCATATCGTAGTGGTGGTAATTGAGACAGTACGGTCACTCGGATTTAGCGCCCAGTATCAGATATATTAGGACGGGAAACTGCATCAAGGACTGTTGCTAACACAACTCCAATAAAGTAAGATTCAGAAGTAACTTCGATCTAATTGACCAGCCTCCCAATCCCAGATACGGCAGACACCTGAGTATGCCATCCTCGCCGTAGAACACCTTAGTACTGCATCTTGGGATACGTAGCGCTGTCTCCACGTCCCTCAAGCGTCAAGTCGAGGACACCGAAGATTGGCCAGACTGGGTCCAGAGAGCTGGTGTCCCCGCGCTTGAATGTCATCTCGCTGGTCCAGTGGTGTCGGATCTCATCCTTATTACGCGAGAACACATGCAGGACTGCTCGCTGCACACCGCTTGGTGTTTCAGCGAGATAGTCGCGGTTAAATGTGTTCCTCCTTGAAGACAGCAGTCACAGGTTGCGCCAGCCACGTTCTTGTGCGTAGGTGCTGAGTCGATTGGGACTTGCCTTTGCAATCACAACAAGATTGGTGCGCTCAGCGAGGTGCAATGCAGCACCCTCAAGCCCATCAACAACTGACGTGCACGATGGACATGGTTGCTCAGCAAGCGGCAGCTTGGCTGTCTCACCTCCTGTGGCACCCGCTCGCAGGTCCTTAGGCCAGCGGGGGAACATCATGTTGTAAATGACCAGCGAGTTCTTACCCGGTGCGAATAACTCCGAGAGCCTCACCTCAGTCCCGTCGCCCGCAGACTCGAAGACGTAGTCCTCTTTAACCAGGCCACCCGGTGGAAGTGCTCGGCGCTGGGAAGCAACCAGTTCATTAAGCTGCCGGAGCTCTGCCTCACGCTCTAACAGGTCGTTGCGTGCCCGTCGGTATTCGCTCGACTCACCGGGGAACTGGACATTGGGGTCGAGGAGTACTTCCCGCCACTTGCTCATATCGCGTGGTTGATCATTGGAAGCCATTGTTTCCATTCAATTCATATATTCCAACTAAGATCTCGTTAAAGGACAGAAACGGACGGAGTGATACGTGGAAATCGGTGAGAATGGATGGTCGTCTGTAAAGAGATAGGGCGGAGGTCCATGACAAATCCGAAGCCCTCCGCATTAATAATACGAGGCCCTTATCCCACCTCTATAAACTATATTCTTCCAGATTTACCAACGATAGCTGAGAGGTCGTCATGATAATCCTTAGCTTCTCCTGCAGATTAGGAATACCACGATAGGCTGATACAAATGGCCTAACTCTGATGGAGTTCTCGTTGCGCCCTGCTGCCTGACAGATCTTATTTCAAAGGGACGATTTGGGCTATGATACCCGACTTAAGGGGCGTAGCTCACTCAACAGGATTGAAGTCTCTCTCAAAATACCCACCCCACACCTACAGCCGCATCTACGCACGGACGCGGATCAGATGTCAACCACAAATCTCCACATTTCCAGGCGCCTTACTCATTAACGTTATCCACAGGGCAATGGGTTTCGCCAAAACGTCATAGTAGAAGCAATCCATGATAGGTCGATCTCGATAACCATACGTTAAATCCGATATAATTGTTGGTAGGGTGGTTTTATTGTGCATGACGTAATCCACTGGCGAGTGGCCCTCCTGCCAACGAATCGCGTCAAAGGTATATGTACGTGTATTCATGTCTCAATAAATGGTGTCTGATCTAACATATAAGGGCGTCATAACCATGTGAGCAGCGAGTGGATCTAAATGTGGCTATTAGTAGCTGGCTGGAAGATGCCGGTGGACCACTTTTCTTAGCACATTACTTTGAGGATAATCTTAACCTTACTATAGCTTCCTAAATTAAGAATAAAAGGATGAATAGAAAGGTTCTGGTTAACTTTAGGCTAAGAAAAGATTAAAAAAAGAAGCTGCTACCTCCTAGTAACTTAGAACCCACTCTATCCAATCTGATTTGGTGGAAGTCAGGTTCATTGATTAAAACCACAAAAACTGTAACTAACAGTTTTAACTAAACTTGAGGTGGTTCCCTAGGCTAGGCACCAAATCACACACCACTGCAAGTTCAGTAAGGGTTGGATTCGATTTTAGCGGTTTGGTTATGCGACTCTACTCGGGACCTGGGACCTTTGCATGCCTACCGTGGTCTTCGCCCTACAGTGGCGTGACCTTGGGTGAGAAGGGTGAGTGCGCAATAAACATGGAACATCAATGACTTCACCACTTGATTCCCTTCTATCCTTATTTTTTAAACCTGTAAAGAACACAAATCAACATTGCATCTTGATCGCATCATTGCACCATTGTAACCCATTCACTATTATCCACTCGCAGCCATGAGTCGCCCTAACATCACTCTGTACACAGCGCAGACGCCCAATGGCATCAAAATCTCCATCGCGCTGGAAGAGCTCGGGTATGGCAGCAGCCCAGATCTCGTAAGCAGTGGCTAACATGTATATAATCAGGCTGCCCTACAATGTTGAGCATATCGATCTCTCCAAGCTAGAGCAAAAAGAGGAGTATGTGCATACAAATCCGACCATGCCCTGCAGAGTCTTGGCCTGGCTGACCAAACCCCCGACAGCTGGTTCCTCGAGATCAACCCCAATGGTCGCATCCCCGCCCTGACCGACACGTTCAGCGACGGGCAGAAGATCCGCCTGTTCGAGTCTGGCAGCATCCTCCAGTACTTGGCCGAGCAGTACGATCCCGAGCACAAGATCTCCTTTCCCAAGGGCACGCGTGAGTACTATGAGATGAACAACTGGCTCTTCTTCCAGAACGCCGGCGTCGGCCCCATGCAAGGCCAGGCGAACCACTTCTCGCGGTACGCGCCCGAGCGCATTGAGTACGGCGTGAACCGGTACATCAATGAGACGCGCCGGCTCTACAGCGTCCTCAACAAGCACCTCGCCCAGTCCAAGTCCGGATACCTGGTTGGCGATCATGTCTCCATCGCCGATATCTCGCTCTGGGGCTGGGTGGCGGCCGCCGCTTGGGCTGGTGTTGATATCAATGAGTTCCCGCATCTAAAGGCGTGGGAGGACCGCATGGCCCAGCGACCAGGCATAGAGAAGGGTCGCCATGTGCCCTCACCGCATAACGTGAAGGAGCGGACCAAGGATAAGGAGAGCATCGAGAAGCATGCCGCAGAGATCCGCGCCTGGGTCCAGGAGGGGATGAAGAGCGATGCTCAGAATAAGAGTTGAATCAGCTCCTGCTGAGCTTTGCATGAATGTACTTGCAGTAAGAATCAAATGAGCTGTAGCCTGCCATCAAGTGAAATGAACTGTATAGCAATTGATTCGCCAGCTCTTAACGAGTCGGCAGTGATGCGCCCTATGATATAGTGATGATTGAGAGGCGGGGTTTGATATTGACAAACCATTTCCTGGTTGCAGAATCGTGATATGGCTCGGGAATCCTATGTAGTCGTGCTTTCCCGCCTTAACTCCATTCGATAGCCCCATGTCGTGTGCAAGCTTACCCCCGGGTGGGGACTGTGATCTAGACAATGATCAGACCCATCAAACACCACTCCACATTACCCACTTAACATACAATTCTTTCACCCCACCACTGGCCTTGTAAATACGGCCTTTACATTCTATAGATCCCTAACTACGGGGATGATTTAACATGAAAAGAGGTAATCAAGCACTTTGCCAAAGCGGTGCTTGTTAGAGTTATTTTCTGAGAACAATAAGTCCAAACTTAATAAGGATTATTGTCTCTCCACAACCACAGGAGGACTGGGAGTTATTTTTGGCCGTTCTTAAGTCTTCCGCTTAGACCGCTAGCTACATTTCTCCGCTGGCTCGTTTGAACCTGACGGTCTGTTTGATCAGGAATTTCTGGGCGGCAGACATGATTTCCATTCACGATGAGATAGAGACACGCGACAGAGCAAACAAGAGTAATAAGCAGGTCCGTCTCAACACATGATAAGTGCATGCCTAGAAATGATGGCCTGTTCTCTTTACAGCACGTTGGTAGACGTCGCCCGATTCGACAGTCTTGAGCCACTCATTGATCCTCGGCCACGACTTTCCGGCAGGAGCCAGCTTGTTAGCGAAAATATCCTGAATGGAGAAAGCCATCATGGTGTCTGCAACCGTGACATGGTCACCAGCAAGGAACTTAGTTGAGGTCTCTTTTAAGTGACCTTCAAGCCAGTCTAGATCATGCTGTACAGACTTGGCCAACTTCGCCTCAATCTCAGGCGCGACTTCCGCAGGAGCCGCTAAACGGGCAGAGAAAACTGCTTCGGCATGAAGCATCAAGGCGCCTTCTGCAGCCCACATGAGTTCGCGAATCTTTGCACGCTTTTCGGGCTGGGTAGGAAGAAGCCGATGCGTCGTATCGTATTTCTCGATGAGGTATCTAACATAGGCGCCCAAGGTCAGTCTTCCTAGCATACGAGGCAAATTTATCTCTTTGAATCATCGGTCAATCAGTTTAGTACTCACTCCGCAATTGCACCAGACTCTCCCAGAACGAGGTTACCATCGCGGATTGCTGGCGCCTTCCCTTTGGAAGTAGGAATTCCGAGCTCGGGGGGAACGGAGCCATCCGGTCTGCGGTCCGCAAACTTCAGCTCGTAATCAACATTCAGTTCCTCAAGCAACCACGCCGTGCGGAAGGCCCGTGAGGACTGAAGGAAATATAGAGTGAGCATTTTGCTTCCGTGAGGACGGATACTGGAGGACGCAAGATGAAGTCGCAACGATGTAATATATCAACTGAGAACAATAGTCGTGCCTATCGTCCTCATAAGCTCCAGACCGCGCTGAATATATATCTATATCATGGAAGCTTAGCGCCGCCGAACGCCGCCGAAGCCGCCGCGTTATATTATGCGCCACAAACCAATGTCCAAGGATAGATATAGTCTAGTCCCTCAATAATTACATAACCTCCTCAGCTGCATGGATAGCTGATAAATCATTAAAGTGCATGTGCCCAACATTGATTAGAGTTCATACCGAATTCTAGTTGAGCGGAGTTCCGAGGATGTTCTTGGCACTCCTGGATCCTATTCAACTTCTGCCCACTAATATGCTCTCAGATTACTTCATCACGACCCCCGAAGTTCACAGACACAAAAGACCCGTGGCGACTGGTAGTGATCTAGATCTTGTTCCGAACGCAGCCAACGAAGTTAATAGCTCTTCTCTGGGTCCATCGTCGACTTAATTAATCTGATGAGAATCTTTCATTACGTAGATTCCTACAGCACTACTCCGTAGATAGCTTGATATAGCGGCAGCAGCTTGCTGTCATGGAGATTGTTGGGTTCTCTACCTAGGAAGCCTAACGTGCGGTGAGATAGGGGCAAGCCCGAAACTTTGATCTTCTCCCTGTTGTCTAGCTAGGAGTATAAATATATGGTTTTTGGCGGCTTGCATTGCGGCCTTCTTCTCTCGCTATACCTGTCAGTCTAACCTCCGTAGTTATTGAGACTTCCAAGATAGGCATCAGTATCTACATAGATTCGCCAGAGCTGTTCTCTCTCTTGCACTCTTTAGTACACCCAAAAACTGCCTTGTTTTGGCACACGTGATGTTGTTACAGTTCACTAGATCATCCTGACCCATGAGGATCTATATGATCTATACAACATAGTTTCACATCATATATCTTAGTGATCTCCTAAATGAGGGTACAGCCCAGCGTAAGCAGTGGTCAAGCTCTTAGGTTCCTTGGCTAAGCAGTAGGTAAAATTAGAGTTAAATACAGATTTATCAGTTAGGCTAAACTTAGGCACGGTGAGAGGAAAATAGTTCTACTTAATGTCACTACCGGGGGGAGTTGCTATTATTAGTTACTTATATTAAATGCAAATATGCATCATGACCTTGTTTTTGAGTTATAGTCTACTTCGCTCTGAATGTGGAGCCTACTGGTGCTTAGGATAGCGTAATATCAGTTGAAGATTGGTCTCGCAAGAGTTTCTTTGTTACTCGATACTCCCATGCTCTTAAGGAATTTGCCCGTTATGTGTCTTGAATTCTGCCTTGCGCATGCAGACATATGACCTTTGTCACATCTCACGTCTCATTGGCTTGGAATCCAGAGCTCAGCCTTGCATATTTTGGCTGAAGTCTGTGCGGTGGGCTGGCCATAGATATATAACACAGATTTGCTTTTTCCGCCGGGCAAAGGGGCAAGCAGATGCTTTTGTGTCTGAAAGAAGGAACCTGCATAGCATGATAGTACTTATGACCCTGGTCTGTATTACCTTCAGTAATAACGAGCGAGTAAGCCTTGGCACGAGGGCCCCAACGAGAAGGTCCCCAGATGCAATCTCATAGCTATGCGAAGTATGGGGACAATGGCCCTCCAGTTTAAATCTCTCGGGCCTTTACCACAAAGACTCATTTCTACTCTTCTCTCTCGTCAGATTCACCACGTACCTCTATACTTTTTGAAGTTGGACCTGCTACACACTCACAGCGATGGTGCGATCGAGCGCTCAATACGGTTATGACTCACTAGAAGTGGAGGAATCACACGGATGTAAGTGCTACTGTTTATGCTATTCAATTCCATCCGCGCAAGAGCCGGAGGTGAGGGAGAGGGTGCTAACCTTGTTCAATGAAGATGAAGAAACCAGAGATTGCAAACGGGCGGAATGGCCCTCGATCGACAGTGTCGCCTTCATGAAACCATATATCGTCGGCGCGGTCAATGTCGTCCTCGTGCTCGGGGCCCTCAATATGATCGCCGTGATCAGTATTCTCATCACGCTTCTAGTCAAATTTAACAACACGGCCAACTCATCCGACTTTGCACTTTACAAAAACACCAAGTTCAAGCAGTGCGCATCCGTGGTGCCTGAGGCGAGCAACTGCAGCGCCATAGCGGCCGCGTGGAAAGAGAGTGATCTCTACTCCACGTATGCCGACTTAGGGCGGTACTACGTCCTCGAAACGGGAGTCACCGCACCTAATAAATACTCTTATGATTGGTGTCAGATAGTCAGCTGCTTCAACGGCTACAAGGTCATTCCCTCGTCGGCGACTGATTCGGCCATGGGGCCGACCGCGTTGTACGGTTGGTGGGCCATCACCCTTACCTCGGTCAGTGCAGTGTGGAGCTTGAGGAAGGTCGCGCCATATTTCAATCAGGAGGTGGAGGAGTGTCGCGGAATCCGGGACATCAGCGTGATTGACTGGGCCTTCCTGATCTGGGATATAGTCGGGCCAATGGTCACCTGGTGGATCTCCTTCGCCTTCTCGTTCATCTACCCGACGCCGAAAGCCACTTACTCTTTACTTGCTTGGACAGTGACCTGGCGATACTCCAGCCAAATCCAATTCCACCCCTACTCGTGTATCTTGTCTCGTGTGCCCCGCATCCGCCGCCTTCTACCCTGGATCGTTGGCTTAGTGGCCGTTCTGCAGTGGGGAGCCACCATCTATTCGGTGCATCGGCAGGTAAGCGGAGGCACGCGAGGCATGCAGACAATCTATAACAGCTACACATGCCTGGGAAAACAGATACCCAGTGCCCCAGGCACGTCCACCTGCTCAGCTGCAGAGCTCTGCCAAAAATCCTGGCTGTTTAGCGAACCTCATTTCTACATGCCGGGAGATGACGCGGCGGGATTCCCCGCCGGGTTCGTCGGTGCCATCACTGCTGCTGTTGGATCGGCCGTGCTATTTATCMTCTCGACTAAAATTTGTTCGTCCTCTGGTATGTATTACACATCCTTTAGGAGGGCCTACGAAAAATGGTCGCCGATACTTATTCTCGCCGTGGTCGGGGGTGGCACAATAGCCGTGTTCGGCCTCTTGTACCCGATTTCCTTGGGCACAAACTGGAACCAGAGACATGCGGACTCTTGGGTGGCATTTGACACGGAGTGTCGGGCTGTTCATGTTGCGTTAAGCCCGTGGAGATTCTACTTGGATGTCGACAAATATGCGAGGGCACTGCGCATTGCTCGACTGTGGTTTGGTGTGTGACCCGGCCACCACATATATCCATGGCCCTGAACGGGAATGAATGAAGCATTTCCCCGGGGGAAACCCTCGTAACGCCCACTTTTTTTATCCCTCCAAACATGTCAACGCGAGAAGATAGAACAAATGTTCCCTGGGGGTGAAGCCCCGGATGCCACTTTTCAGATCTCTTCAGATTCCCCAACAAAGGGTTCATCCAGTCTGTCTCTATCCAACTCATGTTACACACGCCTAATCATTAGCCCACGATGAAACAAATTCTTATATATACGCACAAGGAAAATGGACATCTATACGTTTACTTGTCTCTAGGACTGGAATAACTAAACCTTGTCATAGTTTCCTGTTACTAACATTTTTAAGTACCGAGTGCGGTATTGAGAATCGTTGTATGAAGTTGGGTTTAGCTCTCAACCAGTCAATTAACATGCTAAGCCAGAAGACAGGCATCAGACAGCCCAGAACTTGGACTGCTCTTAGAACAGGCAGGCTTCCTCAATCCCTGGCAGAATTCACAATAAAGCTGCTTTGCCACAATGATTGTCATATGCGACTCGGGCTCTAAGATTTGCAAGCTTCCACAGCCTCTTTGCCTTTTCTACCAAGGAGAGCGGACAAGCGGTAAATATAAGGCTGGGGCTGCATGGACAGAACGACATCCTCAAAGAATATGATTCGTTACACCAAGTGGTCATATCCTGGTCGCTCAGCTGCGCCAGCTCATTCACTGCCAGCCTTGCGCTGACCCCGCTTAAATATGAGTCTTCCCACCTCAAATCCCAATAACCTACACACAGAAACCCTAGTATTCATGTCATTCCAACACCACGTCAAAGTTCATTGTTTAATTTATTCTGTGATGCCGTGGTCAGAAAATGGCGGCCACGAGACTCTCTCATAATGACTACACGGTTGCCTGGATTTGCGCAGTGCCGCTGGAGATGACAGCTGCAAAGGTCATGCTCAACGAGATACATGAGTCCCTTCCTCAACCGCCAACTGATCCCAACTCCTATACACTTGGCTCAACGAGTGGCCATAATATAGTTATTGCCTGCTTACCGTCTGGTGTCTATGGGACAACATCCGCTACAACGGTTGTAGCTAAGATGCACTCAACATTTCCCTCCCTAAAATTTGCCTTGATGGTGGGTATTGGAGGTGGTGTACCCAGCACAAGCACCGATGTTCGCCTTGGGGATGTGGTAGTCAGTACACCATCCAATACTTCTGGTGGCGTGATACAGTATGATTATGGGAAGACACTGTCAGATGGACGCCTTCAGCGCACTGGCTGCCTCAACAAGCCCCCGCAAGTATTGCTAAACGCCGTGTCTCAAATGCGCAGTGATCACATGATCAGAGAGAAAGATATTGAAGAGACTATTTCCAATACACTGAACATGTATGAACAATTGAAAAAAGAATTCTCCCGACCTGAAGACTGGCTTTTCAGCGCGGATTATGTGCATCCCAACAATAAGCCGGATTGCTCAGCATGTGACCAGAGCCGATTAGTGAAACGCACATTACGAACATCTCACAAGCCTCAAATTCATTACGGTTTAATCGCATCCGGAAATCAGGTCATGAAGGATGCTAAGACGCGAGACTCTATTGCTGAAGCATCGAATATTCTCTGCTTTGAAATGGAGGCGGCTGGAATTATGGATCAGCTTCCTTGTCTGGTGATCCGAGGTATCTGTGACTACTGTGATTCTCACAAGAACAAAGAATGGCAAGGGTATGCAGCCCTGGCTGCCGCTGCTTATTCTCAGCTGCTCTTGACAGTTGTCCCTCATCAAAAGAATGACAGCCCGAGATATGATGCGAAAATTCAGCTGAATGAAAGATTAAAAGCAAGGCAGATGGATATCCTGAAGAAGCTTAATGTGTCGCCATACCGAGATCAAAAAGACCGTAATCCTGATCGAATACCAGGGACTTGCCAATGGTTTGTTAACCATACAATCTTTCAAGACTGGCAAACAAGCCAGACATCACGAATGCTCTGGGTTTCTGCAAATCCTGGATGTGGAAAGTCTGTACTTGCCAAATACCTCGCAGATTCCATTCTCACAAAAGGCATGTCTCGAACAGTTGGATATTTCTTCTTTAAAGATGACTTTGAAGAACAAAAAAGTATCATAAATGCGCTATGTTGCATCCTTCACCAGCTCTTTAGCCAGAATCGTGACCTGCTTACCGAAGCCCTCATCGAGCAATTTGAAATGAATGAAAGGATCACCAAGTCATTCAGTGAACTTTGGAACATCCTTATCAGTTCCGCGAAAGAAAAGCATGCCGGAGAAATTATATGCCTTTTGGACGCCTTAGATGAATGTGAACAACATGGATGGTCCCAATTTACGGAAGCCTTGCGCAGGCTTTATACGGGTGAGACTCGGCATAATTTCAATCTGAAATTCCTGATTACTAGTCGCCCCTACAGCCACATCCGGCGGGGCTTTCAGCCTCTTGACATACCTGGACAGCCTATCATTCATCTTAGTGGTGAAAGTGATGTCGAGATGGAGAAGATTTCCCAAGAGATTGTTGTTGTTTTTATTGAAGCAAGGGTCAAGGAAGTAAAAGCTCGACTACGGCTAACAGAAGATGAGCAAAATCTCTTACTTCAAAATCTGACTCGTGTTCGCAACAGAACATATCTTTGGGTCTATCTTACCTTGAACTTAATTGAGAACAAGGAACACATCGACAAAAGAGGAATAGTCGAGGTTACCTCAAACCTCCCACAGTCTGTTGATGAGGCTTATGAGCAAATCCTATCAAGGAGCACAGATTCTCAAAAAGCCAAGAAATTACTTCACATTGTGGTTGGAGCAGCGCGACCATTGAACCTGCAGGAGATGAACCTCGCCCTGGCCCTGAGAGAGGGTCATCGATCTTATGTTGACCTCGCTCTCGGACCAGAAGACCGTTTTCGCGAAACCATGCAAGGCCTATGCGGACTTTTTGTCACCATTGTAGACTCCAAAATTTATCTCCTTCACCAAACGGCAAGGGAATTTTTGCTTCAAGATACTCTCGAGAAGACACCTGTTGCTGTCGAAAAAAGATACAAATGGAGGCATTCCTTAAGGTTGCATGAATCGCACAGTATCCTCGCAATGATTTGTAGCCAACTCTTACTCTTCACCGAGTTTGAGAAGGCCCAGATACTTACAGGTGATGTACTTAGACTCACTGACAGCTACGTTTTTCTTGACTACACTGCTAGATATTGGACTGCTCATTTTTTGGAGTCAGATCTCAAAAGTGATGCCATGTTACGGCCCCTGCTTATGATTTGTGATGCAAGTACAGCTCGCTGCAAAGTCTGGTTCCAGATTTATTGGTCTTCTATGAACACAGAATTTCCCACTGGTTTCACCACTCTTATGGTTGCATCATATTTCGGCATTACCCCTGTTGTTAAACACTTGATTAAAGTGGATGGAGCTGATCCGGACGCCAAAGACGATGTGCATGGCCGATCTGCCTTATCATGGGCCGCGGGAAACGGCCATAGTGCTGTTGTGAACCTCTTGACTAAAAGGTCCTTGAAAAGACTCTTGAGGAAGAGGACTCATGTCGATTCGGCAGACAAGCACAACCGGACTCCACTTTCGTGGGCTGTCTTGCATGGACATGTGGAGGCAGTCAGCCTGTTACTCAAAGCAGGGGCTGCAGTTGACTCGACAGATGACATTGGAGGGACGCCACTTTATTATGCCATTTGTAGTGAGCATACTGGAGCTTTAAAGCTTCTGCTGAAGCGAGGAACCCAGATTCAGTCCAGAGATGATATACAAAAGGAGCTCCTACTTTCAGCCGCAAAGAAAGGACATGAGCCGGTGGTGAAGATCCTACTTGAGATAGATGCCGACGTGGAGTGCAAGGATAGCAAATTCGGTCGAACACTGCTCTCATGGGCGGCTGAGAACGGCCACMAAGCGGTGGTGAAGCTGCTGCTTGAGAAGGATGCGGACTTGGAGTGCAAGGATAGCCAATWCGGYCGAACRCYGCTCTCATGGGCGGCYGAGAACRGCCACSAAGCGGTGGTGCAGCTGCTGCTTGARAAGGATGCGGACTTGGAGTGCAAGGATAGCCAATACGGCCGAACACCGCTCTCATGGGCGGCCGAGAATAGCCAAGAAGTGGTGGTGCAGCTGCTGCTTGAGAAGGCTGGCCTGGAGTCCAAATTGCAGGATATACAAAAGTTCCGGGATATAGTTGGAGTTGTTGTTCTTCTTCACAAGCCGCTCTTAGTTGATGCGCTGGCACGCTTCCTTGACGTCTCTCCATATCATATTATCGATCAACTACAATCACTTAATTCACTTCGCACAATTTTCAACATGCCAACTGATCCTGATGAGGTACTTCAGTTTCTTCATTTACATTTCCGATCTTTTCTCCTCAACACCGAAACTGCCCTCCAAGTGGAGAAGTGTGGGATACACCAGAAAATAGTTGCACAATGTTTATGTATCATGGGTAACTTCCTGAAGCAGAATATCTGCGGCTTGCCCAGCTATGCGGCAGGACGAAAGGATATCAATGACCAGATTATTGATCGGTGCCTTCCAGAAGAGTTAAAATACTCATGTTGCCATTGGGTATATCATTTGGAGCAGAGCAACAAGCCTGTTAATGATGAAGTGCGTGGTTTTCTGGAGAAGCATTTCCTTCATTGGCTGGAAACGATGAGTTTAATGGGGATGGTACATGAGACTGTTGGTAATTTAAATACATTAATAGCACTGGTGACGGTAAGTCCTGATATGCCAGAGTGTTACAGTATACAGTTAATAATGTGGGAAATTCCAGAAATCAGATTCGAATTTTTCAGAGATTTTACGTGATGCGCAGCGATTCATCCTCAGAAACATGGAAATTGCTAGTTCTGCTCCACTACAGCTTTATTCTTCCGGGATTGCTTTTTCCCCTGAAGGGTCAATAATTAGAAGAAAATTTGAAGAACCTCGCAGGTTGATGGCTGCATTGCCAACAACAAAGCAATCATGGAGCGCGCATTTGCAGACCCTCTTGGGCCATTCAGGTCGGGTTAGGACGGTGGTCTTCTCTCCGGACGGCCAGATGGTGGCCACAGGCTCTAGTGATAAGACTGTCCGGCTCTGGGATGCCAAGACCGGAGAAGAACTCCAGACACTCCAGGGGCATTCAAACTGGGTTTGGGCTGTGGCCGTCTCTTTGGACGGCCAGATGGTGGCCTCAGGCTCCAGTGATAAAACCGTTCGGCTCTGGGATGCCAAGACTGGAAAAGAACTGCAGACACTCCAGGGCCATTCAGCTATGGTTGAGACTGTGGTCTTCTCTGCAGACGGCCAGATGGTGGGCTCAGGCTCTGTCGATAACACCCTTCKACTTTGGGATGCCAAGACTGGAAAAGAGCTCCAGACGCTCCGGGGCCATTCGGCTATGGTTAACTCTGTGGTAGATAGCGATCGTCACCCAGTTCCAGACGAGCCCAACCCTCAGTTAACCTTAGTAGAGGACTGGGTGGTCCTTGAAGGTGAAAAAGTATTGTGGCTCCCGTTTGATTATCGTCAGCCAAGTTGCTTAGCCATCAAAGATGGAGCTCTTGCTCTCGGCTATCGGGACGGGCGAGTTTGTATTATGCAATTCAATAGGGTACATCCATCCCTACATTAACTCCTCATTATATTTAATCTACTAATCTATTATTTTCTAATCTCAACTTCAAAGGCGACCCGGGGTAGCTGAGTACCATATATGTCAGTCATGGATATTTGCATGATTATAAGACGGCTTAAATAAGCTGCCACAGAAGTAAGTCTTCGCTATTCTTGCGGACCTTCCCCTAACTTCATCCACAGGCTAGATGGTGAATCTATCGACAGTGTTGATGAGTCATGCTAAGTACTATATACATTCCTATGCACAACACTTAGCCCATAGCAGTCATATTTCAGGTCGTAAACATTGTCATTCCAGCTCATGACCCTATTAACCGCAGTGCCATCCAGGAAGGGAAGACTTGGGACCAATGTAGCCCCATGGAGGCTGGCAGTTATTAGTGGCCAGATTAAAGAGGTAGAAGTTTCCTAAGACCATATCATGTCAGTTATCTGGAGAGGGCGTCTGGTCGCCAGGAGTCCCACCATCACGACATTGGCAGAAAGTGCCAGTGACACCACAATTGGGATTAGAGCTACACAGATGTTAGTCTCCTAATCACCTTCAAGCATGGGAATAGGCCTTACTAGGCATAACATCCGCTGTCTCCACGAGCAACATTACTGCTCATCTCGGAGGCAGGAGCAGCCAACACCAGGGCAGTGTTGACAAGGGCAAGGATGACAGTGGAGGCCTTCATTATGTACTAGAGAACTGCTGGCAGTAGGATGAAAGACTAAAGGGATATAAGAAGATGAATGATGCTAACGGATGAGGAGTCTGTAGTGTAGATAGTTAGGGCTTTATATATTTTTCTCCAGAGTCGCAGCAGCCCTTTTTGAATCAGATGTGGCCTCTTCTGAAGGTGTATACTGCCTTGCACTGTTCTCAAGCTGGATATCCATGAAATTAGTGGATATATTCTCATTTCACCTCAGATACGACGGACGATGTTAGTGGATGCTGACAACTGAATGTAACCTTGTGCCCTGGTTTTCCATGCTATAGATAAGTAGACTGAATCCTGACCTTGCTAGCTTCATTGCATTGATATTAACTTGGACATTACACTTGTGGATAGCTGGACTCCAAATGAATGCTATACACTGAGTAGCGTGAATCTAGAGGGACAACAGTAAGTTGTCAAGTGGAGTCCCTCGGCTGTGCTAACTATTGGTCCAAGCACGACAGCAGGAGATTTTGCTAGTAAAATAAGCACTAAAATAGTTTGATTGGACACCCAGGCAGCCGGGCTTGGAAAAGTCGATTAATCGCTGCGTTTGCCGCAAAAGGAAACCACGTGCTATCTCCCAACGATAGGGGGCCCACTCCGGTGGGGTTCCAGCTTCGGCACCGCCAGGCAGGCCATCCGTACTAGCACTAAATGGACTAGAATACTAGTTAATTGTTGATTTCCAGACCGCCCATCCTGACGAGGTTCTGAATCCTGAAGCCCGTCGGCGCAGCGGTGATTTGCCGTTGGTCCCGAGAGGTAGTGATTGTGAGGCTGTGAACCCTAGTTGATCCACATTTTCTCACTAAATCGTACAGTGAGTCTTCCCGACCCTGCGCTGGCATGGCCTCTCTCGCACGTCCCAATGTAACCAGAGACAGGGTTATTTCCACCCATCTCATCTCGTGCCTTTGCAGGTTGAGTTGGTCACGAAGAACATACTATTCGAGGGCTTGCACACCCGGCCGCCTTCTGTTTGATACCCACTTCGCAGCAATCGGAGGATCATGTAAGAAACTCGTATCGTGGATTGCAAATTCATTTCGTGGATATTGCATTTGCAGAGAAGGATATTGCAGTACACTCTGTGACTCTTGTATGAACGTCACGTGTGGTTAGTGCCTTTGAGCGACTCTGACACCGATCTTGAATAAAACCTCCTACGATCAAGCCTTATCAGCCGCTTACCCACTGAGGCTTATCATCTTTTTCACTAGACAACTGTTGATCAGTGGGCATGTCTCGGCAGTCGCATGGACCAAGCCTTGACCGGCTGTCCCAACTGCCCAGCGAGCTTTTAGTCGCCATCTTCGAGCAGTGCGCCGACTTTTCCTCGGTGTGGAGTCTCATGCGCACATCGAAACTGATGTTCTCTGTGTTTAATGATCGAGCCTGTGAAATTGTTTCTGAAGTCATGCTCTTAGCTGTGCCTGTCCAGGCTCAGATCGTCATGCAGGGAATCCTCGCCGTGCAGGTGGGCGCTTTTTCTCAGTGGGAAACATATAGCGACGTCATCCATTATCTCATGAGCAGTGACATCCGACCTGCAAATAGGATTATAGCATCGTCGGCACAGCTGCGCAAGTTTGTCTATCTCTCCCACTATATTCATGCCCTAGCACATCTATGTATCGAACGAATGATCCAGCGATGTCTTGAGAGTCCATTAGGCCAACGACAGTATCCCCCAGGCTTTAGGCATCCCACATGGACAGAGGAGCAACGGACTGTTCTTGCATTATGGCGCCTATTATTCTGGAATCAACTCAAGATTGAAGGTGCAAAGGGATCTCTGGGATGGTCCATGGATCACCTAGAACGACTGGCCCGGAGCGATCTCCATGATCATTATCACTACAATGCTCAGGTCTTGCAGGGTTTTGCAGCTTTGGGTTTCATTGCTGAGATCTCACTGGCGGAAAGGTCCTTTGACCTCTCCGAGAGTCCGGCTCGAGATCCCTTTCCACTGCCAAGAATCCCTAGTGAGTTTGACTGGCTAGAGTTTGACTGGGTTTGCGAGCCTCCTCCTTCATCAAAGGATCGGACATTTGAATATTGTGAATATGACTTGAATGTGATGTTCCCCCTACAACAATCAGGGCACACTCAGCAGAGAGATGAGTCTAGCCCAGAGGCAGCCCAAGACTCTGTCCATGATCTCAGTGGGCGATCCAGTCTTGAACACAGTCCTGAACACAGCCGCGAGTCTCCGTCTCAGCCTCATCTGGACTTGAAAGGTGAAGCTGTACAGCCATCTAGGCGACCACCAGCTCGATTTTTCTACGGGACACCCTCCGAGGACGAATCGTCTAACGACAATGAATGGAACACCACTGAGGACTTCCAGGAGGACACTGAAAATGAAGAGTCAAGCTCGGGCTCGAGCTCTGATTCAAGCGAGGATGGCCCTAGAATCATCCGAGGCTGCCGCATGGCCTACACCCCCTCTCCTTCAGATGAATTTTATAACCAGGGCCGACCGCACTCTGTGCCTCGCCCTGTTCGTGATTATGGGCCCCAGTCCCTCTGGGGCCCGGAGTGGGAAGACCTTGGCCGAGAACCGCTCGGTATCCAATTCTGGCGCAGTATGAGTGGGGATCTCCCGGCCGGACCGGCCAAGTATATGCAGTTCCAACCGTATGCTCGCTATGGATTCGCATTCTGGGAGGAGCGGCGGATGATGCAGCTAGGACTATGGTCGCACCAGGCCCTTAACGATCCAGTCGAGTACTACCAGCGATGGTATACCTTTCTGAGTCAAGAGGATATTAAGCGCTTGGAGACGAACTTTGGATATATATCTGATGATGATGACTACGAATGATATCAGTCGATCAATCGAGCATACCATGCATTTAAACGAGTCTACCATTTAACTCAGTACACGCGACTTCCTCCAAGCCATACCTCCGTCTTTTACCTATCCGGATACGGCTGTCCGGGTATTTTCACATCTCATACGTACAGAAGCCTGTGTAGAACTCGACTGGGTATGTCCCCTTCTTTGTAGTATGGGTGACATGCAGAGTATAGTCATAGGCGACCCTGCCATTCATACAACATTGTTAGCGCACATAACCACAATCGCACGAGAAGAAGAGAAGTAGTACATACGCAGCCAGAGCGTAGGTCTCTGGATTTTTCATGGCTAGGGACTTTGTGTACATCTTGCCATTTTTTCTGAGCTTATTTCCGGCCATCCGGGGAAAGTTGTATTCCTCATCGTCACCCTTGTTCATCACTGAGTTCCCCCAATACAAATGAAACAATTCGTGATATGCAGTCCGTCCGGCTGGAACCACTTTAGAGATCATTTGGGGTTCAACTGCGCCGGAAGGTGGTTGGTTATTTTCAAATAAGTCGCTTGGGAGTGCTGAGGCTTCGACAGAGCGTAATCGACGTCCATTGAACGCCGCGTCGCATAGTGTGATGGCGCCAAAAGACCCCTCATTGATGGTATAAGCGATGACGTTGGCGTCTGTCGCACAAGGACCCTGCGTGGGATCGTCACCGTATTTGATATCGAAGACGTAAGCCATAAGGGCCTCGCTCCAGTGCTATCTGTCCATCAGCAATTGACAAATGTTGCTGCGAGCAGGGCAGGTACCGGGTAAATAAACTTCGGGTTTTTTCCCAGCTCCTCTGCTACTTTCTTGCGACGCTTCTTCATCTCCCTGCTATCGCTGATGAGATACGGCTCGCCGTTCTCCTTGACCATGGGGTTGCCGTGGGCGTCTTTCATCTGGCTGCTCATGGTCTCGCGAACTCTCCAGGTGTCCCCACAGAAGAGAAGGGGACCATGTCTGTTCTGTCCATTATTGATTCGGCCACCGGACTCCATCCAGTTCTTCACTCCTTGCATTCTGTCTGTACAGGATAGTTAGTTCCTATATCTTCGTGAATGTGGTGTGGCCACTTGCCTTGGATAATGGCCAGATCCTCTTCCGATGGCTGGAAGAACAGCGCGTTTATCAGGCGTGTCGCTTCGTTTGTCGTTCTCGCCGTTGCGTCCTTATGATCGAGCGTTGCTTGGATTGCAGTGCCCGCTAACTCATATGCATCGTCGAAGACTGCGTCCAGCGTAGCCTGGCCGTATTTGGCGCAGTTGCCCCCGGGTGCATTCGGGGCAACTGAGTAGTGAAACATGGCTCCCAGGTCTCTTCTAGCAGCCCAGGCCAGGTGGCCATGGCCACCGAAGCTGGCCATGATGGCGAGCAGCAGTGCTGGCGAAAGTACTAGTCGTGGGAGGATCATTGCATGCACTCGACAACGAGTCAGTCTCTTCTGCTTGGAACGAGAATTAAGTTGGAGGGAACGGTCTTTCTCTTTGCTTTTAGCATGCACTTTTCTGATAATCGCTTTCTCCAATTTGCTAAAGCCACGTGCCAGTGCATTGGTAATGACCCCTGCCCTTTTTCCTTTTTTGCAAAACAATTATGTCTGTCGGGATCAGTCTCTGTAGCCGCCGAAAGCGCACTTTTGATCATCCATGACCCTGCTCTCTCTCTATCCCTCAGCCACAAAGATAGCACGGTCACCGCTAACAATGTCAAGTGAGACATTGCCCTGGATGTAATATCGATATAGATTAAGAACTCCTTGTACGACTCGCACATTCCGCGGTATTCCGGTGCGTGGGAATCGGAATCCCTCTATTGTCCCTTTTTGTTGAAAGATACGATGTCTAGGAAATGCAATATCCTTGTACAACACTAATATAGCGCATCCGAGTTGTAAAGCACTAATATAGCGCATCCGAGGATCAGGCAAGTGTATCTAGGCACATGGAAAATACGCGAATGCAACCTCGCAATTTCAGGCCTTCAGTAGTCCGACGCTATGTAGACCCTGGACAAGCCTTCTTGGCTTAGCTTATGCGAACAGGACCCCGCTCACCAGATTCTTGACTGCTGCAAGGTACTGGAGCCCATCGCTAAGCATACATGGTCCAGGAGTGTTGACCTTTCTCATTGTCCAATTTAGCCATCGAGAGGCAACCCGTTCCTACGAGAGTTCAGAATGATCGTGGAGTCCCCCCTCTGGTTTTTACATTTAATCTCTCACTTCCCAGACATGCCAGAAGAGCAGTCATATTTGGGAAATTGAACGACTATGCTAGTCAACAGTCTTGGGCTGTTGTGGCTAGGCCTTGCCTATGCCCATGGTCACTCTCACTACGGCCATGAGCGCGGCCGTTCCCACCATCCACATGTGCGGCGGGACGTGGCTCAGCCCTACATCAGTACAAGACTGCCGGGCCAAGTTGATATGCTCGGTTCACCGGTGTTTGTGGGAGATAAGCCTGGGTTGCCGCCGGGATCTCCTCAGGTCAGTCGATGCCCTCTGTCCTAGCGGAGCGAAACAATGACTGACATACACAGCCGGCGCCAAGCTACATGAAAGACAATGTCAACAACTTCTTCGGTAGCGCGCCAGATCATGGCTCCATGACGGGCCCTGTGCTAGGACCCGTGAATTCAACGGTGAATGGCGAGAGGCACGGCATGGTTCTTGCTACAAAAGTCAGTAGTGACGACTACTGGCTGTCAAGTCTAGGGAGCGTGGGGTCGATGCCCTTCGCCCCCGCCGGATACCAGTTCTTTCGTAACGTCAAGGACTTTGGCGCCGTCGGAGACGGGGTGACGGACGACACAGCGGCCATCAACCGGGCGGTGGCATCACTCAGCGCGTCAGACCATTCAACCCTGCGTTGTGGGGAGAAGTGCGGTTCGACCTCCTCGCTAGGCGCCGTGGTATACTTCCCTGCTGGAACATATCTCATCAGCACACCCATCATACAGTACTACTACACGCAATTTGTGGGCAATCCCACCCTCAAGCCTGTAATCAAGGGCGCGAAGAACTTCACCGGCATTGCGCTGGTCGATACGGACTTTTACATCCCCGGCGGCAATGGAGCCGAATGGTACATCAACCAGAGTAATTTCTACCGGCAGATCCGCAATTTCGTCTTTGACATGACCGGCATGAACTGGACCAACACCGACAAGGATCAGACCTATGTCCCGGCGGGCATCCATTGGCAGGTCGGCCAGGCCACGTCCATCACCAACTGCGATTTCCAAATGGCCGTCTCCACGGCAGACCATTCCGCGACAGCCGTGGGGATCTACATGGAGAACGGCAGTGGTGGGATGGTGTCTGATCTGACTTTTACAGGCGGGTAAGTGCTTGCCTATACTCACCGCTATGGGTCGGTAGGCCTTGGCTAACCGGAGAACGACTGCTAGAAATATTGGTTTCCTCGCGGGTAGCCAGCAGTTTACCGCCATCAATCTCCAGTTCACTTCCTGCCTGACCGCCATCAAGTCCATCTGGAACTGGGGCTTCACCTGGAAGAACATCTATGTCCTGTCATGCTATATTGCCATTGACGCTACGGAGTATTCCGGAGCGGGCAATCAGGGAACGGGCTCCATCGCGGTAGTCGATTCCCACTTCAGCGGCGTCCCGTATGCCATCACCATTGCCCACACGGCAAATGAGCAGCCGAACATTGTCCTGGACAATTTGCTAGTCGAGAACTCGGCGTCCGTGGTCCTCATCTCTGGAGGAGAGACCCTCCTGCCTGGCTCAACCGGCGCGCTTTACTTCAACTCCTGGGTCAGTGGGTATCGGTTCCTGCCTGATGGCTCCGCAGGTAAATCAAACGGGTTTATTAATCCCGCGCCGAACAAACCATCTCTACTGCTGGACGGCTCGGGCGCCTTTTTCCGCAAGCCAAAGCCGCAGTATGTGGGCGTAACACCCGTCGTGGCCACCGATCATGGGATTTCCAACGACGGCACGGGGGACCAGGCCAGGGCCATTAACGAGCTTCTATCAAGCTACCTGGGATCAGTCATTTTCTTCCCTGCTGGGGTATACCTGGTTGAAAGCACCGTCCATATTCCCGTAGGGAGTAAGATCATTGGTTCCGGTTGGAGTCAGATTATGGGGACTGGGTCCACATTCGAGGATGAGAGTAATCCCACCGTCGTGGTCCGGGTGGGTCACAAGGGGGATCAGGGAGTAGTTGAGATTACGGATATGCTCTTCACTGTCAAGGGAGCCACAGCTGGTGCAGTGCTGATGGAATGGAATGTCCACGAGAGTACTCAAGGCAGCGGTGAGTTCTGGCCCTTCCCCCCGGCTTCATTCCACGTGCTCCACGTTCTGACATTCTATAGCCGCCATGTGGGACAGTCACTTCCGCGTCGGTGGCGCCAATGGCAGCAATCTGGGTCTTGCCGATTGTCCCATCGGAGGGGACGCGGTGAACAGAAAGTGCATGGGTGCCTCGATGTTGATGCACATCACCAGCGACGCGTCAGGCTACTTTGAAAATGTCTGGGCGTGGGTGGCAGACCATGACTTAGACAGTCCTCTGAATGCGCTTGCCACCGAAAGTCCTGATGGCGTGCCGCTGAATGTTCAGACCGACATCTCAGTCTACGTTGGACGGGGCATACTTATCGAGTCTCAGGGGCCAACGTGGCTCTACGGCACGGCCAGCGAGCATGCGCAAATGTACCAGTACCAGCTTTTGAATGCAGCAAATATCTACATGGGTCATATGCAGACAGAGACGCCCTACTACCAGCCCAAGCCTAACGCCCTCTCACCCTACACGGCAAACAGCTATTTCCTCTCGGACCCAACGTACAAGGACTGCTCGGATGACCTCTGTCGGGGCGCGTGGGCACTCCGAGTCCTCAACTCAACCGATGTCTTCATCTACTCGGCAGGGTTCTATTCCTGGTTTCAGGCATACGACGAGAGCTGCGTATCCGTCGAGCACTGCCAGCAGTCCCTCATCCAGACCAATTATGCAAAGGGACTGTGGATGTACAACATCTTCACCAAAGGCAACGTGGAGGTTGTGTCGCCTGAGGGAGGCCTGCCTGCATTGCTCTTCAACGACACGACGCGGAATGGTTTCACCAGCGAGATTGCAGCGTGGCTGTCCCTGTCAACCGGTGGAGGAGACATTGGATCTGACGGCGATGACTCGGGAGCGGTTTATATTGATCCCGTCATCTGGAGCGAACCAGACGATGGCAGGAATATCTCCTGCTACCCGCCATGCACCTACGTATTGCCTCCCACAACGCTCCCAACTCCAAGAACATTTGTGTATCCGACTCTGGTAACGGGCATTGGCGTTGGCTACGAGGTGCCCACCTACTACGATGACAATGGGAGTACAACCACCACGACCACGTACATCACGAGCACTACGACGACCACTCTCACGATTCCGGATGTCGTGACCCCTGTGGTTGGGTTCTGGGACGTTACCATTGAACCCAGCGTGACGGCTTCAGTCATCATACCAACTCCGAGCATCATCCAGAGTGCCTTCAACATTACCTGGCCGCCTCTGGTACGGAACTCCATTACCTACCCCGGGACTGTCGTGCCTTTCTATCCACCCCCGTGGACACCGGACCCGCCGAGCTCGACTCCGACTCCAACGTCAACGTCAACTACCACGATTGGTGGAGGGTCAACGTCAACGTCAACTACCACGATTGGCGGAGGGTCAAAGACGACCGGGAGCCATGACCACGATTACCCTCCAGTGACGCATCACAGTGGCCCACCCAAGCCGAAATGCACTGACCGCAAGATCTGTGGCATCGGGTGTCATGAGGGGCTGGGAGGACTCCTCAATAGGATCTTTCACGTGTGTAACCCATGCTGGACGGGCTGTGGGGGCATCGACTGTATGTATCCTCATCTTTATCCCTGAGTGCCTTTTTTTAACTGAAACAGCTCCCAATAACTTCCCGAATGACCCCAACGATACACCAGATGATGATGATGACCCCAACGGTGATCCATCAGAATCCAAGTCCGAATGCTCGACTGCAACGTATAGCTCCTGCAGCACGGCATGTGTCACGGCGTCCTCCACCAGTTCGTGCTCGTCAACGTGCAGAGGTACCTTATCCTCCTTTCCCCATCCTGTTCCCGTACATTCCCTGGCTAACTCTCTAGACATTGTGGGCTGCGACACAACCGGCACGTCAATGGTCGGCACCTACACCCTGCCGCCCATGCTGGCAGGCACCGCCGAGACCTGGTCCGATGAGGGCTACACGGCCGGCGACCTAGCCGCTGACTGGGCTGCGGGCTCCTCGATCTACAGATCTGAGCACTTTGGTTCTAGCACAGGACCGATCACTAGTGGGCCCAGTCCAACATCCGGCGGCGGCGGAGGAGGCACCATCACCACGATCACAAAGGTGGAGATCGAGACCGAGACGTACACCACCACCTACCCCGTGAGCGTGGGCGTGGTAGCCATGGCAGGCGCCCAGCGAGTTGGGTACCGCAACGTTGTAATCAGCGACTACGACCTCAACTTCTTCACCGTCTCGGAGACGCGCAATGTCTGCGAAGGGAAATTCTCAACGGAGTATGGGGCTGCTTCGCCGCGGCCGAAGTCATGGACAGATATTCCGCAGAGTGTCACCTTCTTCTCGAACCTGGATCTGCTAGCGACGAAGTATACAAACTGTGTATATACAAATGCGGCGGCGCCGAGCCCGGGGGATGGTGGGACGGTCTCGTGTGACGGGCTGACACTCCCGTGTCATGTTGAGACGGGGCCAATCCTGGGATGTAATCCGGATATGCTGGCTGGGTGGCTGACGAGTGTTAAGCCGCTGGTTAACTGCCCAGTGAGGACGATGACAAGCTCGTTGGCTACCGCAACGATTACCGTGACGGAGACGCTGACGACGACGATACCATAGTCGCATTCTGATGCTTCTGGTTCGTCTGTAATCCTAGCCCAATAGATGATTATATTTGACTTTCATATGTTTATTCGTAGACTTCCATTGACGACTTTTGTCATTCTTGAGATGCGGATTACATCTACACAGCAGTAATGGCTGTGCCTGTGCCAGGTAGTTATCCTGGATCATCCCAGTCTGGGCCAGCTCAGATCAAAACATATCCATTCTAGCGATGCCTAATTCTGCAGTTGCTTGGTCCAAGGGTGGCTAAAATCTATACAAAAATCTACACATCTAAATTGGCACAAAAGGCTTCCCTTCAATGCTCTCCACCTTCTCCACAGCCCGCCGGTAACCCGATGAGTTCTGTATCTGCGCAGCATAAGCATCCAGCCGCGGATACTCCCTACGCGGAACGATCGACAGATTAAGTGCCGCAATAACGGGGATGCTCATCTGGATATCCGCCGCGGTCAGCTGCGAGCCGCATAGAAACGGCCCTTCCTCAGGGGCCGATGCCAGCTGGTCCTCCAGGAAGCGGAAATGGGTGCGAAGTTCTTGATCCAGGAACTCGGCGCTAACTTTTCCAGTGATGAACCCGGTGATTGGTTTGATGAAGAAGGGGACGGGGGCGTTTTTGATAGCTGTCCTCATCAGTATATATAATATGGAAGAACCTGGGACAAATACCATTCATGATCAGCTGTACCTGGATCGGCGACATGAGACTTCCCTCAGCGTAGTGCATGTAGTATCGATAGCGCATCCAGGACTCAGTCTCACCGCCTAACTGGCCCTCGCGACCGGGCTGATATCGCTCAGGAATGAGTCGCGTGTTGGGGCCGCCGAAATGATCGAGGAAGTACTCGATGATAGCACCCGATTCGACTAGGACTGTGGGCTGGGGGGCATCCGGGGGTTGGATCGATACGATGGGCGATTTTCCCAGCGGATGGATCTGTTTGAGCTCGGGGGGAGCGATGCCGTTGGGACCGCGTTTGTAGGTCTTGATGTCGTAGGAGAGATTCAGTTCCTCCATGAGCCACATGATGCGCTGTGCGCGGGATTTTTCCAGCCTGGTCAGAGTGAGCATTGATATCGGGCATATTGGCAGTAAGCATCTACCAGTGCAGGACTATTTTGGCGCCTCGATTCGCATTCATCTTTTTAGCTTTTTATCTCTTTTGCTCTTTAGCTCTTTGTCTGTCTGTTACAATATGCAATAAAAGCCTATCGTAGCAGTGGATATATGGACAAGATTCTTAGTGTCGGTACGGAGGATTGCCACTATCAGATAATAATAATATCGGATCCAGGCGGCTGGTGGAGAATATATAGAGCTCATAGCTGATTCTGTACTAAAATCTGACTGTCTCCCACGGCACCCAATGATTCTTCTCGACGGAGTGTTGGTTGGTTCTCAATAGCCGGAATCTTCTGGAGAGACAGTAATAGTTTTAAATAGAAGATGCCTTTTTAGTGTATATATTGGAAATTAGAAATACAAGTCGCAAAGGAGAATGTACAGTGGAGATGGTTGGCATAGAGGCTAATTTTGTCGCCAAGAAGAGAGTGTGTCACCTAAGACTCCACTGCTAGACTCTTGCTTGGTTAGTGCCTCAATAGCTGCCTATTCCTGGTGGCCTAAGTGGAGGCCAGCGCTATGTAGAACTTTTCAAGTACCCAGAGTCCATGCCTTGAAGCTCCTACGCTTCATTCATTATATTTGTCTTCTAGCTACACAATGAGCACAACCGGAGCAGAAAAGAGTCCCTCAGACCCGGCAACAGCCCGACAAAATGCCCAGTCAACGACCCTCCTTTGGCGCCTACATGACCTTGTCGACCAGATCATGGTTATGTAAGTTCTCCTTTATTTACAATACCGCAGCGAAAGAAATGAAAATAGCATGAGATCAGATCCGGAGTCTGTTCCGCGTTTGGCCCTATAGCATACTATCTGTACTGCTACTACTACCAAGGACTTGACCAAGCGACATCCCGCCGTCGGAGCAGCGATGCCATTATTATCCTGGGTGGTATTTTCATGATAGTCTATCTGCTGAAATATGTTCTGAAATATTTTGCGCTGCGCTCGCGGAGGGTGGCAGACCTGTGAATTGGGAGCAAGAAATATAGACTAGGTTCTTAGCTTATGTTCAGCTGTGCTGGCCTAGTGATTGTAAATAGGAATCCTGTCGCTGTCATCAAACAGTAAGGGTAAAAATAAACAACAGCATATCAGCATCTGAAAAGAATTTGCAGAACGATGTCTGGCTATTTTGAGTTCAGAACAAACATGGGAATAATATACAAAGAAGGTTAGGATTGATTTAAATTTGGTGATTCTTGCTATTGGCTTCCCTCTGAGTTTATTATTGGGAATAATATGGGGAACCCTAAAGGAGACGCTCACATGCATTTGGGATAGCTACCTTCAGTGGATGATAGGAGCTATGATTTTAATGGGTATTATTGGAGGGATTAGCCGGCACTATGGCTAATGATATGACATTCTTATATTAATTACTGCGCAAGGCCTCTAACAGTTGATTCTGCCTAGAGCGATTAACTAGCATTGGCTAGACTGTATCAGCTTGACAACTTGTCCTCCAACTCTCACATCCTCATGAATCTCTCTTTTAACGCATCAACACATTGAGGTTTAGCATGGACGAAACAACTCCTCTCCTTCCTGGTCAAAATGACCACCACAACGAGGATTCTACCACAACACAACGGACGACATCATCAAGAATTGTCACCATCCTCATCTGGTCGTCCGTCATAATATCCGCCCTGACCTTCTTGTACAGCCTCACCGTCTACCTGGTGGTGACACTCTCCCCTTACTATGACTTTCTCTCCTGGGGAATAAAAGATAGCACCGAAGCCTTGTTCCCTCTGGTATGCATTTTTCTCGGTCAATCTGATCGCATCTCTAACCCGCGTACAGAGCTTCCTTTGCGCGGTCGCCAGCTTGTTCGGCATCTTCAAATTGACCGTCCCCAACGGCGGCGCATGGCTCCTCGTCAACCTCATCTTCGATCCCTTGATCGTATTGCTCTTTGGCCTCAACCCCGCTCTTGGTACCCCTGGGCTTGCGAACTGGAGACAATGCGATGGCCACGGTCACGGTTTTCCAGCTCCAGGGTTCGAGGCGAGATGTGACGTGTTTGCGAACGCGATCAAGGCGGCGATACTCGTGGGGCTTGTGTTTGACATGGTCATCATGTAAGTTAATCGATCATTTCTTGGTGCAAGCTGATTGTTGCTCTAGGACTCTACATCTGGTCTTTTTCATCCGCGATGTGGTGCTGGGGGTCAAAAGACTCAGTCAGTTGAGCTGGGGGTGGAGGTTTCCAACTGGTCAGTTTACGGTAGAATTTACCGTCAAGGTATTGAGACAGAGGGAAGAACAGGTGGACTGTTGAGGTTGCAGATGACGGATCATTTGTGATACGTATGTGACATCATGAATAGGGCTTGCAGATCGCATATTTTAGGTATACAAGATACAAGATATAGAATGCAGGTCAGCAGACAACTCACCTTAGATAAAGAACTTGCCAATAATGATAAGGGGCACATTGAAATTTGTCGTGCTAAACAAGCAATATGTTTTGATTGTCTCGAGGACTGATTGGCCCAGATAAATCCCGCACACTCAAAAAAACTTTATCAGGATTATAGGTATCATCGACCGCAGACACATGGTTCACCCCACGTGTAATGACCGTGTAATGACCCATGGTTAAAGAGCATGCATTCTTCTCTTTTTTTTGCGTCTTGATTTTCATCTCCAAGTGCTTCTTCAGCTGCCTCTTTGCGTGCGTCAGTTGAGCAAGTCACCGGGATGTGGAAGCCTTCGCTTAATTTCATCTCCCTTGATTTCGTCTCCCTTAATTTCATCACTTTGCATTGTCAGTAAAGGCTTCCTGAAGCAAAAGAGCGACTGAAAACTTACTCGACAGCAGATGCGTACATCATCACTCTGAGCGTCCTCAGTTTGGCCATCATCTACCCATATGGCAACCTCCGAGCCATCGACGCGTTCTTTTTCGGGGCCAGTGCCTGTACAGAATCCGGACTGAACACGTTGGTCGCTCGATCCTCTGGTGATGGGAAGTACTGACGCGGCCCAGTGTTGATATCAATCTCTTGAAAACGTATCAACAGGTCTACATCTATATCGCTCCCATTATCACCAATCTTGGTTTCATCAACATTCTCGTGGTGATTGTACGGCTTCGCTGGTTCGAAAAGCGTCTGAAGGAAATTGGTATGCATTTATATCTGTTGCGCTTGAGCACGCAGGCTGATCTGGTGATACAGCCCCTGCCTTTCTCCGTCAAAGACGGAAAGATGACGCAGAGGCGAGAGGGGACAGTACTTCGAAGACGGTGACAACTTCAGACCCCACAACTACAGAGAAGTGAGTGATGGCCGTTGGTTATGCCGGATATTGCTGATGGCGCTCAGACAAGACTCTTTTCCGAATGAGTCGCAGAGTCCGCCTTTGCGCAATCCAGAGTCCCGGTTGCGAGCTCCGAGCATCACCTTTGCCGATAATGTGCATGATTCCAGCCGGGACAGAGCTCTATACGTTCCTCCTCCCTGGCAACGTGATCGAGGACACCCCATCGTGGAAGTCGACGATGCGCTGAGCGACTGTGGTAGGCTAGCTCCGGATACTGACCATAACAAAACTGACGGTCACAGAGCGAACCAAATCCACTGACGCCCAGGTCAACGCCGGAACTTCTCGCCGGCGGTTCAATCTGGCTCGGACGGATACCATTGAGCGAGTTGCGTCCACGATGTTTGTCATCGGCCCGTCCCCCAGCCATGGCCCCAAGACGCAGTCACAGCCCCTAGACCGGTCCCTTTCGCAGCAGCTGGACCTGCCTGAACTGTCGTCGCATGCTACGATCGGCCGGAACTCGCACTTCTATAACCTCACCGACGAGGATCGAGAGATGCTGGGAGGAGTAGAATACCGCAGTTTGAAACTCTTGCTCAAGATCGTCATTGGTATGTCAATTTTTTTCATTTTACAGAACAGCTCTGACCGAACAGGGTATTTCTTCGGGCTTCATCTCTTTGGCGCAATCTGCCTGGTCGGTTGGATCCAGCACGCAAACCCCAAGTACCGCGACTACCTTGCCCAATGCGGCCAAGGCAACATCTGGTGGTGAGCCCGCTGTCTACCTTGTACGCTACGATTGCTAAGCATGAGTAGGGCCTTCTATTCCTCCCAGACAATGATAGACAATCTCGGCTTCACCCTCACCCCCGACTCGATGGTCAGCTTCCAGGACGCAACCTTCCCCCTGATCCTCATGAGCTTCCTCGCCTTGGCCGGCAACACCCTCTATCCCTGTTTTCTGCGCTTCGTCATCTGGACCATGTCCAAGCTCTGCCCGCGCCACTCCTCCATGAAAGAATCCCTCCTCTTCCTCCTCAACCACCCCCGCCGCTGCTACACCCTTCTCTTCCCCAGCAAACCCACCTGGGTCCTCTTCGGCATCATCTTCACCATGAACCTCGTCGACATCATCCTCATCATCGTCCTCGATCTCCACAATACCACCGTCAACGTCCTCCCCGCGGGCCCCCGCGTCCTCGCCGCCATCTACCAGGCCGCCTCCACCCGCCACACCGGCACCGCAGTCTTCAACCTCGCAAACGTCAACCCCGCCGTGCAGTTTAGTTTGTTGGTAATGATGTACATCGCCGTCTACCCCATCGCTATCAGCGTCCGCGCCTCGAATACCTACGAGGAGCGCGCGCTAGGTATCTATGGCGACGACGCGGCTACCATCGACGAGTCAGACGGCCGCTCTTACGTCCTCGCCCATATCCGCAACCAGCTCACCTTTGACCTGTGGTATATCTTCCTGGGGATCTTTTGTATTTGCATCGCGGAGTCGGATCGTGTCATGGATCCGAATGAGCCGGTAGACTTCCCTCCCTCCCTTCACATTTCACTTTTACTGTTCAAAAAAGCTAACAGACAGCGACAGTCATTCGCCGTGTTTCCCATTTTCTTCGAGGTTGTTTCTGCGTAGTATGTCCTGTCCCTCCTCTCATTCTATCGTGCAGTACTAATGATGTGATAGCGCAAACGTGGGTCTGAGTCTGGGGTACCCCACCGTGAATACCTCCCTCAGCGGGCAGTTTTCCGTCTTCAGCAAGCTAGTTATCTGTGCGATGATGATCCGCGGGCGGCATCGGGGACTACCGTACCAGCTGGATCGGGCGATTGTGCTGCCCAATGAGCAGTTGGATGATAGTATCGAGGGGATTGACGATGTGAGGTCTGTGAGGCGGATGGGGAGGATTAAGCGGTTTCATACTAGCTAGTACAGTAGACGCATACGTACAGTATAGACATAGATGCGCGTTTACCAGTACAAGTCATAGACATGGAATGAATTGCTCGTTATCATGATATATGCTACAATGCTATTTATTACAGATTAATGTGGCTTGACCCACGCGGGCTGCTCACATGGATGCGAATTCCGCCATTTTTGGATTCGCTGGACGTTCCATCCTGAGAACCACCGTCGCTGATCCTTGGGTATTCGTTTTGTTCCTAGTCGGAACGACTCGGTCGATACGTGGCACTCCTTCTCGCTGTACCGCCATTGGAAGCAGGTGTCGTGACTCAGGCACTGGTCGCGACAGGCTTCCATCGAGGGGCTGTCCAGTTCAACCGGCACATCAGCGAGGTTATCCCAGTCCTCCTCCACGACGCGCATCCTACCCGGTGGAAATGACAGCTCGGAGAGTTCCCGGAAGAGAAGCGGTGCCTAGGTCCGTTAGTGCTGCGCTGTATCAAATGTCTTGAGACATACCTTTACATCATCGCGCGCCTGCTCGAAATCAAAAATGGCACTACGCTCCCGCGGCATGACATGATGCATCGTGACGACGGGCTGGCACCATTGCTTCGCCCCAAACTCCAGCGTCGCCGGTTTCTCCCCGTTCACCTGCGGCCAGAAATTCCGGATCCCGACGTCAAGCTCCTGTTTCAGAGTCCGGCCCAGCACGAAATCCCCACAGCAGTCGTTCGGCATGACATCATCGTACCGGCTCGCCATCCCTGGGTTGTCCCCCACAAACGCTTCCATCAGCGCTCGCGAAATGACATACCCGCTCCCGCCGTGGCCGAACCCCTGGTCCGCGATAAAGGACGCCGAACCCATGTACAGCTTCTCGTTCGGCGAGAACTGTTCCAGCCACTGAAGAAGATTCGTCCACACGACGTACGTGTCGCTCTCGATGAAGACGTACCAGTCCATGTGTGGCCGCTGCGCCCACGTCATTTCTACCATGTGCAGGAACTTGTACTTGTCGAGCGTCCAGGCGGCCTTGCCGTCGTTCTTGAGCGTAGCAATGTCCAGACCCCCACTCTGGTACGCTTGCTGCTGCCGGTAGAGCTCAAAATCGGCATGTGTGGCTTTCATAGTTGCGTTGAAGTCCGCCAGCGCATCAAATATATGGTACGGGCCGATCTGCTCCTCGAGGTCGGAGAAAATCAAAAAGTCCTGCGCGCACCCCAGCGTCGTCAGCAGCTGCGTCGGTAACTTCTCGTAGATCTCCGTCGCGCCCGTCTTCACGATGAATAGAATGTTCCCTGGGTCCGGCTGCGCGTGGCACCGCCGGTCGGTATGTTGGAAATCGTCGCTCGAGCCGGTCCCGGATGGCCCGGGATTAGTACCATTGCTGCCGGCCGTTGGCTCTCCGGTCGACTCGTGTAGAGTCACGCCCCGGGAGGCCGGCATCATCTCGTAGAAGAACACCAGGGTGCAGAAGAACAGGAGGGCGGCCAGCGCCATTGGTGCGAAACGGCGGAATTCCGGCTTGAGCTTCAATTCCAACGGCTTCATGGCGAATACGACCGCAATTCCAAAGTTCAGCTCGTCTGAGCGTGTGGAAAGTGTGTTGGGCACATGTGGATGGATATATCAGCGGCCGGGATAAGCTTCTCAAAGACAAATGCGGAAGGTAGCAACCCCGCTGTGAGGTGGTTAAGAGTGAGACCGCGGCCGTAGCTTGTGAGACACTCCCAATATATCCCTCCTTAGTGCCCTAAACATAGAAATTAATATTCAATTAGTGCCCGGGCGCACTGTCCAGGGTCCAGGGTCGGGGTTGATAATCAATGTCAGACTTTGCTATGCCGGGCGTGGCTGTACAGAGTACGGAAAAAAAGTGAGCACTAAGATCGGCTTCCGCCATTCCAGCGCCCTTGATTAATCCACCAGCCGTTTGTCATCATAATGACACTTGCCAATGTGGAGATGGTAGTCCAGAAATAATATTGATGGTTCAGTTATTTTCAGCTCCGGATCTGGGATCGGTCGCAGTGGAAAAGCCTATCAACGATGTGGGAATGGTGTCCGCCCCACGCAGTCCAATGGACATAACGCTATTAATTGCAACATTAACAAGCTAGTTTCAGCCTTGTCGATGCTATTGGTTTGGATCGGCAGTGTCAATCTCTCCGATTCGCTTTTCACCGGGTAGTTGAACGGTCCAGAGTGAAACAGTTTCGTCGAACACATGCTACGGAGCTTGCAATGTCACGCTATCGCTAGGCAAATATCGTCATAATCTTCTGTACACTCTTCACCGTTGAGTACCTCTCTACTCAATGAGTCAATTCCCCTCTAGTATCGCCTGTCGACGTCCAACTGCCGTGTTCGCTCTCGGGTCCGAGACATCCTCGTGTTTTCTCCACTGCTCCAGCCACACTCCCACAAATCGTACAATTTCCTGGTGGAGGTCGACTATGGCCTTTGGTGGGGTTTTCCCTTTCTGCACGTCTTCTTTGGACAAGCCGTTCTGATCCCAGTGGTGTACTGCACCGCGAATTCCATCCCAGACGTCCTCAGCCGGTACGTCAACAAGGATAAACGGCTCCTCGTCCGTTGAATTTCTCGGTCGAGCCCCGTCCGCATGCGGCGTAGCGTCACGCCAAGGATCGGCCAGTCCATCAATAATGGCCGCCCGGGGATAAGAGAAGTTGAACCCGCCGTGTTTGTTAATGCGATCGGTATCAGGGGGTGTGTTGATGTTGAAGTCGTCCTTGCAGAATTGCGATACCCCGGCAAACGTAATCAAACGGGAGATAAGAGGCAGTCTGTCTTTCGGGACGCTTGACCCTGGCATGAAGTATCCCCATTCGGTGCAGACCTGATAACCCCAGCTAACCCCTGACGACTTTTCCAGGGACTGTTGTGACTTGGGATTGGAGGCACTGAGGGCCTGGTCAAGACGGGAGAAAATCGTAGCATTCGCGTAACCAGCGTAATTGAGAATTCCTGTAACCAAGCTGGAGTTAGTTGCATCATACTTTGTGGCCGAGATGAGCTCCTCCGTCCACGTCTTTATGGTATTATTGTGCTGATAGAGCAATGTCGGGCTCGTGAGATTTTTGCAATATCTCTGAAAAGTGCCATCGCCGACCGCAGGATCCCAGTTCCGGCCTTGAAAGGCTCCAAGGATATCCGAAAGAGCCGACACGAAAAATTCATCGCTAATGGAGGATTTTGCACCAAAGACAGCCTTGAGGTGCGATTTTAAAGTCTCGTTCTTCGCGTGCTCAATCAGTATGGTATCCACAATATCCGTGAAAGTGCCGATGTTCCACACGCAGTCGGACGGTGCAAATTGGCGAATGGGCTCATAGTATTGCCAATAATCCTCAATGGCCTCGGTGACTCCTGACGACGAAACCACCCCGTAGAAGACCTCCGGGTAGAGCTTGCGAAGAAAAGCCACAAAAGCTCCGGCATAGGAGCCTCCATATCCGATCCACGGCACGGCCCCGGCAGTCAGATCCAGGTGCTCCAGTCCGGGGAAAACAATATTGGAAGCAAAGTAAGAGTAATCCGCCAATGCTTGCTCAGTCGACAAGAACCGAATATTCTTCGTGGTTAGATTGGCAAAGGGGTAGCTCTGGCCATAATAGCGGTGTTCCAGGATTACTCCAAGACCGTTATAGGTCTTGGCTAACTGGGTCACAATTCCTTGAGACAGGAACGGGAAGCGATTTGTACCGTCCGTCTCTCCAGCTGCAATGAGAAATACTGGTCCCCCTTCCCTGTAGTGGCTGGCATCGAACCAGTAGCGGATGTTGAAGTGGTCGTGAGTATGAGGTTCATATCGAGATTCATTGTGAAAATGGTCAATAGGAACAGAGAAATTGTGTTCTATAAATGTCTTCGAAGACGTCAGGTGTAGTGATTCACTCCTTTTATCATCCAGCTGTCGCAGATGATGGAGAAGCGGGAATTTCAGTTCCAATGGAGAGATGTTGAATCCTTGGGCGACTGAGGCCAGGAATGTCCCAATAAGGAACAGAACAGCTCGCAGCTGCATTTTTATAATATACGAGGTGTGCTCAGGGTAGAGATAACATCAAGGACAGTAGAGATTTCATAAGACACGAGTGAGACAAGAAAGTTGCTTTCAAGGTCCTTGAGAGCTCAGCTGCGGATGGTCATGCATCGCGACGATCCCCCTCTTGCCTCCGCACTAGATTGATAAGCGTCAGTTGGCAAGTTCACACATCACATGCCATTGAGGATTGAAACAATGGCGTGCTTTCAGTGTATTCGTGTTCAAGCATTGTATTCACTTCTATCTCTGATGCTTTCAATGCTTCAAGGACTTAGTTCAATGGAAAGTAGTGTAAGTGAGCGTTTGTTGACTGCTTTTGTGCCTCGGCCCAATGTCACCCCACTTATGCTTTCTCACTCTGTTTTAGGATCGACTGTCTCCTCAAATCCTAAGCATCTCAGCAGCATATCCATATGGTTCTTCTTTAGCTTTCCACTCCTTTTCCCGCTCATGCATACATCCCTCCATCCGATGACATACCACATTATGACCCTCCACCATGCGGACCTTCTTTGCAAGCTTCTCGCCTTCAATCGTGAACAGATCCTGTTCGGCGGTGATAATCAGCGTATTCTTGGGGAACCACACCGGATCCGGATATGACGGCAAAAGCCGCGGATCTCCGTGTGAACCTTGCGGGGGTTGCGATAACACGAATGGTAGAATTCCGAGAAAAAAGGAAAGATCTTCCAATCATAAACTTCGATTTGACCACTTGCTTCTTTGCTGTGGTCGGTTGCAACAGCTGATCCCTAGGAATGTTATAGACATCGATCAAGGCTCGGCGTTGTAGTTTTGCGACAAATCTCTGGTCTCATCAAGTGGTCAAGGTCGGTCAAGATATATTTCCCCACGGGGAAAACAGTCACTTTATAGCATTTCAATCACCAAGTCAAGGTCCAGACCGAGGAAGTAGCCACATGAGCAAACCATCCAAAATACAAAACAAAACAGGGACATGATTAACACTACCCCATTGATGAGTCGACCCCTGATGAACCGCTGGAGTATCTGTTTTCAAACCAACAAAGCTCTCTACAAGTATTGGCCGAGGCCCTGGGAAGCGGGAAGTTTCCGTAGTTCCAACGCACCTGGATGAGATTAGGTTGGTTGCGCTGCTGATTGGAGCAGAATACGAGCTAAAATGAAGGCACATGAGCGGACACCCAAAAAGGTTAAGGTAGATAAGATTTCTTCGTGATCGAACTTTTGCGAAAAGTTTTGCGACGACTTCTGTCCTCTGTAATAACTGGGTGGAATATCCATCCTGCAGCCCAGTATGTCTTCTCAAGATGAGACGAAAGTGTCTGGCTTAGAGAAGGGACTTGGTCCCGCCGCAGAAGTGAAGCACGATGTGGCTGCGACGGCGAACGAAACCAAAGAACAGTCAGCTGCGCCAATGGACCATGGACTCCATGCTTGGACGGTGGTCGCAGGAGCCTGGTGCTGTCTCTTTTGCGGATTTGGGTGGGTGAATGGTGAGCTTGCCCGTGTCACCGACCAAGTACAATCCTGACCGAAATAGCGATCGGTGTCTTCCAAGACTACTACCAGCATAATCAATTGCGCGAGTACTCAGCATCCAGTATCTCCTGGATTTTGTCTCTCGAGCCATTCGTCCTCTTCGCCGCAGGCATCGTCCTCGGCCGCGTCTTCGACAACTACGGCCCCAAATGGATGCTCCTCATCGGCACATTCCTGCACGTCTTTGGCCTCATGATGATCTCCGTCTCGAGCGAGTACTACCAGTTCCTCCTTGCGCAGGGGATCTGCAGCCCCTTAGGCGCTAGCTTCGTCTTCTATCCCGCCTCGGCCTGCACAGCGACCTGGTTCGATAAGCGCCGCGCTCTCGCGTTCGGGATCATGTCGAGCGGCTCGTCAATAGGCGGCGTTGTCTTCCCGGCGACGTTATCGCGACTGCTTCCGCGGGTTGGATTCGGATGGTCGCTGCGCATCTCCGCGTTCGTGGTGCTGGCGTTGCTGGTTGTAGCGAATATGACCGTCCGCTCGCGCATCGCGCCTGTGCCGAGGCGGGTGCAGCTCAGTGATTATATCGGGCCGTTCTCGGAGCTGCCGTTTGTGCTGTTAATGCTGGCAGCTTGCTGTGGCTTCTGGGCGATGTTTGTGCCGATCAACTATGTGATTCTTGAGGCGCAGGAGGACGGGGTTCGTCGGAGTCTGGCGGAGTATCTACTGACGATTCTGAATGCCGCAAGGTTAGTCCCCTGTTGCGCAGATTGAGATATAAGCTGACAAGATAGTCTTCCTGGTCGGATCCTTCCCGGTTACTTTGGAGATAAACTCGGCCGGTTCAACGTGATGATCGCCATGTGTACCCTTTCCGCGCTGACGATTCTCGTCCTCTGGATTCCTGGAACTCTCTTGGCTCCTGGCTCTGCGGCCGTCTATGTAATCTTCAGCTTGCTATATGGGTTTGCTTCCGGAGCGTTCGTCGGCATGGTCCCGGCCCTGCTCAGTCAGATCACGGCGGATATGAGCAAAACGGGTGTACGGCAGGGAGTATTGTATACCTGCATGAGTATTGCGACGTTGACTGGAAGTCCAATTGCGGGAGCGATTCTGAATCGACAGCATGGAACTTATTGGGGGTTACAAGCCTTTGCTGGGGCGATGATGGTGGCTAGTGTGGTGTTCTTTGTTGCTGCGAGAGTGGTTTTGCAGGGGACATCGCTGAGAAAGAGGGTGTAACCAGATTTTCACACTGGTATATCTCAGGCATCAATTGCTTCTCTCACACATGAACAGTGGAGGCAATAGTATCCACATCCTACCACAAACATTGCTTTCTTCACACCATCTACGCATGTCTTCCAGCAGAAACTCATCGGAGCCCTCTCCGGTGCACAAATAGTCCTGCACGATCAAGCGCGGAACCAGGACAATCAAAGCGCGCGGAGGCTGCAGGACGGACTGGAGCGAAATGATATCGAACAGGGACAAGGTTGAAGCGAAAGAAGTTTGACTCCCTGCTTAATGCTACTGTGCGTAGGTGCAGGGAGGGACTAGGATGTGGACAGGTCGCTCGGGTTGAGCATTCGGCGGCGGATGTACATTTTACGAAATGACCAGCCTGGACACATTTGATACCACAAGTTATAATTAAGGATAAGCAAATACATAGAAAATTTAGATGACAATGTCAATGATGATCAACTGCTGTTTGTGCAGATCCGACTGCTAGCTGTCTAATTTCACTTCATTGTAGCACGACTGAAAGCTACCACTGATCTAGTAGCACTCGAATGGCCCTTTTGCGGTATTCAACCTATTCTCAAGAAAGTTCAAATCCCAGACAACTCCACAGCTAATACACAAGCTCCCATTCAGCGCCACAACCCGGCAAAAAAGCAATGCGATCGTCTAACTGCGGAGCAAAACTGTTACAGAGCTGGCTGATGCTGAAATGATGCTGAATACCGGATATGGTCAATATGAAGGGTCCGTTGGCGCTCCGGATGAACGACACAAACCCGGAGCCATGCTGGAGATACATAAGATCGTCGCCGAGAATGAGGTGATCTGAAGGAGTGGGCGCGTAATTCGGCCAGAGTCTTTTCAGGGCTTGGAACCGAGCGCGGGACTTAGTGCTGGCGTAGACTTGAAGGGATTCAGTCTCTGTCCTGCGTTGGACGTCCCAATAGAGAGATTTGTATTTCTTCGAGCGGATGTAGTACCTAGGAAGAACAAGTCAGCTACCATCTTATGAGGAAGAGAAGGGAGGAGGCTACCAGTTGTATTGCAAGCAATCCACAAAAGGCCCATTATTTATCATGTGCCACGAATCGTTGTAGCCATACAAGGGTTTGAAGAGGATCAGTCCGTCAAATCTCTGAGCGAGGTGATGGTCGGTGGTCGAATGCTCGATGCGGAAGTTTTGGTACCGGTACCATTCAGCGCTGACTCGCGCGATGTTTCCGAACTGTGAGGTCTCCATGGCACGGAACCAGGCATCCAAGGTGTCCTTGTCCTTGGCCGTAATGAGCCAGACAGCGAAGCCCTTCGTTGGTTAGTCGGAGCACCGCATTTTTGGCCTGGAGAGCTTACCCCTGAGCTGGCGTAGGCGTAGAAGACCATCTTKCTGAATGGAAGCACTAAGTCAGGTCGCAAGTGACATGAAGACGTCGGCTGCTCGACTGATAGGGAGAAAAACCTTGAGCGGGAAGTGTCGAGACTTTATAGTCCTAGACTCAGTGGCATAAGTGAATGTAACAGAAGTCCGAAGAGCTATGTAGAAGCTGAAATCCTAAGAGCATATCTGGATCATGCAGAATTTTTTTATCATTCACCATGAAAGACGACATAATCCGCCTGGGTAGCTTCAGAAAGGCTCGGCGTTGTGTATGACGGTGTGTAGTATCATCCATCTTTTCACGACTTGCTCTAGGTGATCCAACAAAGGATCATTCTGCCTGCATGATCATGAGTTACTGCATAGTCAGTGCTTTATCACTTGGTCAACCTCATCTACCATTCCCTGATGGGAGTGATCTCAATCCTGTGTTGTGCTGCCGTTGTCTGTCTGAATAGAGGCAAGATCGTGTCTTCTCCGCGTACGTGTCAAATTCGGGATGTAGCATTTCTAGCGTCTGGAAAGCGTTCTAATCCCTCACGAATCCCCGTATAGACACGATCCCTAGCGTATATGGAACGGTCAACTCCAAAATTCAGCAACAAGGCGACTGCTATCGATTATATTGTGGACGTTGTCCAAACAGCACGCTGTGCTTCCCAGTTAGCGAGACCTAAGACGCAGGAAGTAGATTTACTCGCTCCATTTTTGGGGAGATTATCGGTCAATCCATCCGTCTCCTTTTGATCGACGCTGCATAATCCGAATAGAGACGGTTGACAGTCATTCCAGAGCAGAAAGGGCGGGACTATGCCCGGTAAATTTCAGTCTCAAAACAACTTCTTTTCAGAACTCGGAAGAGACGCTGCAGAAATAGGAAAAGAGTGGACATATATAAAATCTGCCACTCACCGTCTGTGCCATGCAGTCTTCATCCTAGAGTACGGGAGTAATCGTTTCCGGACAAGGTACTCTCAGGTCATAGCGACACAGGGCCAGGACTATATATTTGATCGGGCATGTCTCCGGAGGGAGTGAAATACCCTAGACCAACGAATTATTCGCATACTGACTGAGAGCTCATCATCTGTCCCAGAAAGACAGACACCCGATCCAGAGGCATCCTAGGAACCCCCTCTCACAATCAACAAGGTCTGCCAGTTCTCCGTAACATCGACAAGCGAAGGAAGCCTCGACGATCTCTCAAGTCGACATGCCTGATCTGACACTCATAGGAGTCCAATTACACAAGGAAACGTCATGGGACTTTTGACATTGCTAGCTCCATGCATTGCAACAACGCCGCCAAGTTCGATCACGCGAGCTCCGAAAACTCGGCATTACAGGCCCAGGTACATTGTTAGATCGCGGATATCTTGAAATAGCAGATATTACATAATTGTATGAGCTAGCAACGCTCTCATATCAAGGTAATTGACTGTCAAGTTCGTTACCGGCTGGAAAGATCAACGCTGGCGAAATGACGAGCTTCAAGGATTATATCCTTGCCCCAATTACCAACGGCTGCACCCAATTGCCAGCGTGACAACTCGCAAGAAAGAGATAAATCCTGTAGTGACTACCCATCGAGCGATCATCCTCTCAAACAAGGCACAGAGACCCTCGCTTAATTCAGTTGTGGAGGAGAAATCTAAACGATAGGGTCCAAATCTTCCGGGAACCTTGACTAGCGTGAAGAACTGGTGGGGACATGCTGATCCAGTGGCTTTTATCCCTTGAAAAAGTAATCTAGATGGTCGACTTGAACTGGGGAGTGATACGCCAAAGCCGGCCCCAAACCCTCTCCCAGTGCAACGAATGTAGAATCAAAAATATCCACAGGAAATATAGTGCGCATGTCTCATTAAGAATTAGTGATAGAGGCAGGTCAGATAAAATGAAATAACATTTAGTAGTAATAACAGCCTCTGTCTTTTTCCAGGGTTAAAAAGTTGCACACAATACAAGGAGGAAGTACATACCTCTCAGAACCCAGATGCTGGCGCCCAGTTCGGGGCTAGACAATTTTGAGACCCCGATGCCCTTCCTGTGGATCACAGATCTGAAACCTTCAGTGCTGGACCGGTAATTCTTAAGCACTCTCATCCAAAACTGTAAATATCCCTAATGAATCATTCCACTGCTAGCATATACTTTTTATTACAGATATTTCTTACTTATCACCTGAATATCTCAAGCACCCTTTCACACATCCAACCAAGATGGTCACCTTGACAGCTGTTCCCGTGTTTCTTCCTAAAGACAAAGTTCCTACTAAAAAAGACGTCAAAGATATTATCAGCTCATTCCTGACAGAAGAATGGCCGTCCGTGGACCCCGAGTCCCTGACCATGTCGTACCATGCATCATTTGCCAACGCCCACTGTCCCGTAGAGCGACCGAAGCCGGCTACTGGGACATCTGCTGAGCCCTTAAAGGTGTTCATCAAATTTCATAATGGCACTGGGAGCGATCTCGAAATTTTCAAGCATCTGGCACCGAGCAAGCACGAGGAAGCACTATTTTGCGACGAGTACGGCCTATCTGGCCTGGGAGCCAAAGTCTACGGATTCTTCAAGACGCAGGATGGCACGCTCGGGAGAATCGATGAGTTCCTTGACGCACGTAACATGGAACCGCAGGATGTCGAGGATACGGTCATCCGAGCGGATGTTGCTAAAGCACTGGCAGAGTTCCATGTCTTGAAGATGCCACTGGAGAAAAAGACGGTGGAACCATACTACGAAGCCGTCATCCACGGACTCAAGAAGTACCACGAAATGGGCAAGTTGAAGGTACTTGGGCAAGAAGGAGGTGTCAATGTGGACGATCTGGTCAACTACGATTTCGGAACAAGGTTGCGAAGAGTGGTGGACAAGCTGGATTCCATAGGGGGAAAGACAGGATGGTGTATCCATGACGTGCAATTCATGAATGTCATGGTGAAGAACGATCCAAAGGAAGGAGAGAGCAGAGTTGCCTTGATTGACTTTGAGTTTGTGATGCGGAACTATCGAGCGTTCGACATTGGTGGGCATTTTATGCAGAAGATGTTCAAATGGTTTGACGAGGAGAGCAAAATAGCAAGGTGCAGAAAGTACACAGAAGAGGAGAAGAGACACTTCTGCGAGGAATATGCCAAACAGTGGAACAAACTGACCGGTGATTCAGATACCGGAGACCAGGTGTTCCTGGAATCTGAATATGGATATATGTTGGCAATCACTTTTGACATCCACAACATGCTGTGCTTCATGAGTGAAGAAGATGACAAGGATCCACTGAACCTTCTCGGGCTTAACAAGCTTTTTGACGAGTTCGTGGATCAATATGCCAGACTTAGATTAGAAGATCCACCATACAAATGGTCCTGCAATTGCTAGACAAAGTTAAGGAACTCTTAAGTAAGTCTAGTACTAATGCATGCAGAGTTATTACAGTCTCTAGATGCCTGAATCTTCTTGATGAGTAGGATGTCTAGAAGCTAGAGTTTCCAGCAGGGCTATTATTTAGCTATAGTATCTATATACTCATGGATGTCCTCTCGTTTTAAAGAATATACTTGCTTATCTTCTAATATTGTTGCTGTGGTACCTTTAATCTAAGTATTACTGTAGGACTTTAGAAGGCTGTATAATAAGCCTTAATTACCTCCTTAATTTTGAATGAATAAAGTAGGCACTGTGGTGCAGTTCTAAGGTCTATGCATGGTGGGTATCAGAACGTCCTTAAACCCCCTGGTAAAGGCAACTGTTAAAAGTGATTTAATCTGTGTTAGTTGAGTTCTGCCGCTGAACACAATCATACTGAAGAGAGACATGGCGCTGTACGAGTCCCGAGTTCAGTCGTTAGACCGACACTTCTCGTAAAGCAACATGCTAGATATCAACTTTCTCATGGAGATCGTCACCGGAGAGATCATAGTGCCTCCAAAAGGCCACAACCTCCGTTTTGACTGGGAAAGACTCTGTTTGATGGCCAACACAATAATTGTCAATAACGTCGCCGGATCAATCAACGAGAAGATCAATCGCATGGCCAAAACACCAAAATCTGCATGAGAACTGCTAGCAATGCAGTATGCAGTCCCCAACACCCATATCGCACAGAAAGGCTTCATGAACGCAGAATCTTACAATAGCTGTGCGAACCTGAGCATGTTTACAGAGTAATCTGCCTCAGGCACCAGCCTCGACAGCGTAGCCAGCCCACCTGAGAGGTTAGAAATTCCCGCGAAGCTGAGATTCCAATCCAACATCAACTTCTTAAATATATCAAATACGTGTGAATAGCTTCATTTATTCCTGTTTAAGCTTCCGGCTTCCTTAGTGCACTGATTAACCATGGGAATGAGAACCCGTGTCTCACAATAGTCATAACATGCTCAGTTACTCAGTGACACTTCATTATTATATTTTACTATGTACACGGGCTCAACTTACAATTCAATGGCTTTGTATGGTTTTCTTTTTTTTTTTTTTCTGGTTGTATGAGACACTACTAACATGTAATAGGACTCTGGTACCGGAGTCGCAAGATAGTAGTTAGTAAATGGTTTGTAATACCTTAGTTCTAGATCAAGATTGACTTTAGATATAGATTACGCTAGAAAAGACAGAGAAGGGGGAGGAACTGCCATGTGTATAACAACAGATCACCTCGCTACACAGTTCCCAACTGGCTTAAGACATCAGAAGCACGGCAAAGATGTAATTGAAGACATTGAACGATGATATCAGCAACTCGCGGGTATTCCTTCACCAGCTCCGTCGCAGCGAGATTCACCCAAATCTTCTGAGACAGCTTATGCAGCGTCATCAACTCACAAGTATCCGTCCTTAGTAACGAAGGCTCCTCACCGATTTCCACCAACTTCTTCTGAAAAAGATCAAGGATCCACGCTGGGGATGTGAGCTCCTGATCCAAGCCATCACCGGGGCCCGCAGAACCGTACAACGCGAGCTTTGGGGGAGGCTCGGCGACCGTGAACGATTTCCAGAGAAATACCTCAAGCAAGCAGACTCCTAAGCTGTAGACATCGTGGCGTGGCTCAAACCCGGCCATTGCGTACTCGGATTGCCGGTCTGGATGTTGGTAGATAGCTTGCTGCCACAGGTGTTCGCCCAGATGGGCCGAGACGGAGTCCATGTTCCGGGCAGCGGTCCACTTCAGGAGAAACACCGCGAGCGAGTCATTCCCCAGGGAACTCCCTTCTACTAGTAGTATCGACCGCGGACGAATATTCTTGTGTACGAATTCTATTTCGTGGACATGCACGACGGCCTGTGCAAGCTGTCTAGCGAGGTCCAGCCGGGTCTCAAATCCCGGAGGGTCGCTATAGGAGATAAGGTGCGCCAAGGACATCAAAGATCCACCAGCTGGGGCTTTGAAAATCAACTCGTAGCACGCCATCGCTTTGCGATACGGGGGCATGCGAAACCCAACGCACTCCGGTATTCCGGCGGGAAAGCTTCTCGACCGAAAGGTGTCACACAGGGAGCGCAGATTGGCCTCGCCATCAGTTTTCCCCTCGACGATGAAAGTCTCCGTTGTCTTACCGAGGCCCAGATTCAACTCCCCTCTCGCGACCAGAATGTCCGAAGTCGGAAGATACTCTCCAGGATGGTGATTTTCGGACTCATGGATCAGCGCGAAATTCTCCCGCGAGAGAATACTGGAATGTACACCCATAGAGAAAAGCGAGAACTCGATGCATAGCTTGTGCAAAACATCTATCTCATCCTTGAGACTGTGCATGCACTTCCTCAGTTCGTTCTTTCCATGCAGGGCGTAGGACACACGTCCCGAGAACCTGGAAGGCGCTAAACTTTTTAGCTTGATGAGGGCTATTGCTAGTCTGTCGTAGAAGCGCCGAATAGAGGATTCAAACATCTGTTTGGCAGTGCTCGGTAGGCTGGGGTCCTTCAAGGCCCGTTTGACCGTTTCAAGGAAGTAGAACGACATGCCGCCCATAGCTATGTCCCTCCCAAGTCTCATGTAGTCGGCTCGGATTTCATCCTGCTCGGAGTAGGCTTGCACAATATTCAGTATCTGGGAGCCTGCTCGTATGATCACGTCGATGAGGCCCGGAACACCGATTACGAGCTCGGCCATGCCTACAGCCTTGGTTGAAAGATATAGGATGACTTGTGCTCTTTGGATGGAAGACCAGTCTTTCAGAGCCGAGCAGGATGTCGAGAGGCAAACATGGCTGAGTAGGTGTTGCACGTGATCACAATGCTGACTGGCAGTTGAAGGATCGTTGAAGGCGGCCCGACTTACTAGTCATCCACCACCTTGCTCAGCCTCTGCCTATGAAGGATGGAACGGTGAATAGGACCTCTAGGATAATAAGTGAAGCCTTAGAAAGGGGTATAAAACTGACAGGTAGACCGTACTTAGAAATACAACAGCTTTAAGATCCCAATTCAAGTCATCCCGTTGGTTCCGGTCAACATGACTCATTCTCCAAGGCAAACCGATTTAATCCTTGTCGATCAAACTTGCAACTATCACTCGAGCGTCGAGACATTCTGGCACGGTTGACACAGATTCCGCAATCCGTACTACCTGTATTGAATGCTTGCTCTGATGGAACCCCCTGCGGCTGATTTTCGTCCGGAAACCCCACACCCCAACACCCCCACAAAGACTCCAAACCTCCCTCAGGGCCTACCACCTTGACTTCTTCCTGGGTATTGGTCGGAAAAAAATCTTGCCATGTCGGATGGTATGATAGCCTCTCATCTTTCCTGAGATTAATAAAACGATAGCTGGCCATACCAACCACTTAATGAGATAAGTATTCATCGCTTCCCATATGGGATTCACGTCATGTGTTTGATGGTGGCGTGGACACAAATGCCTGAGTGACAGAGTGAGTGGCGAAACAAGGCAGATCGCGAAAAACTTTGCTGTCATCAAGTTTAATGGAGTTAATCAACAGATACTTAAAACTAGCACTATAGTATTAAGGTTTATACTACTATTAATATATATTCCCAGTATATTATTTAGGTAACGTAATCGGTAAGCGATCCGCCATTGTATGCCAGCCGCCATCTACTGTATTCCATATAAAATGGCACTTTTCGAAACTTCAATATCCCAACAACAAAGCATCTAGGATACCTAAAATTTAATATATAGAGTACTCTCATATTGAATATATATATATATTAAGTTGAGACCTTCGGGGGGTTTCATTTTCTTAAGGTAATATCCTTTACCGCCGTATTTTTTGTATTTAAGAATGATACTATATTACCACTCATAAAAAAATTCTAAAAAATTTAAGAAAATCTATATTCTTATTCTATAATACATATATATATAACTATATTATAGAGAAAGTCTCCTGAGGCTATTGTGATGGAAATACTAAAGTTATAAAAAGTGCCATTTATATGGAATACAGCAGATGGCGGTTGGCATACAATGGCGGATCGCTTACCGGTTACGTTATATTATATATATGTAGGTGAAGGCGGTCCTAAATAGGAAGTTCTCGAACTAGATGCTGAGGCAGTGCTTAAGATTAGGGTGGAGCTCTAAGGCCTTAGAAAGGTGGGGGGAGAAATACAGAAACCAGCGGGGCAGTGCTACATACCTATTAGGATTGCAGCCTTGTTGCAAGGCTAGTGGCGTACAGTGTACGGCTTGCTGGGATCTCATCGTCAGATGGGATACCTAAGCGGGTATAGTTAGAATTACCAACCGCTGTACCCAGTTGCTGGCGTGAGAACTCGATCGGGCGGGACTCCAATATATCGAAGCGAGACATGACACTCCATGCGGGTGACTGGAACGTCGTCGGGGGTAAAACCAGCCGACATCTTCTTTGAGATGCGACTGGTTCCTTTTGCCTCGTAGCGCTGGTCGTTTTGTGACACGTGTGCATGAAGAGAGACGAGGGATTATGGAGGATTAAGTTTCGGAGATTTGGACGCATGGGGAGAAATCCTGCAGTGGCTAGCCAGCGAAACCTGATTATACATGCAAGGGAAGGGCATGGCGACCCTCGCTTAATTCAATTGCCAAGTAGGAATTCAGACGACAGATCCAAATCTTTTCTGCGGCTGACTAGCGCGAGGAACTGTTAGTCTTTGGTCAGATTTACTGATTGGTAGAAGCAGCCAACGCAAGCCACCAGGAGCTGACTATCACTGCACTCGTGTCTAGACTGTCGAGGCGAGATCTCGTATTTGGAATCATAAAAGGATCATCACAATGATCGGCGATCTGGGGCTCAGATGTAGACATGCAATACCTACGACTTCATACAGCGGCTAAATGTCCAGGCAAGAGTACTAATCCATCAATAAACTACGGTACTACGAGCAAGAGGGGCAGGATACCAGCCTTCCCTCAAACTTTATCCTTGAGCATCATAATGGCTATTCTAGCCGAATGCTCGTCTATTGACTAGTCATAATCGATCCCAAGCAATGAAGCCCAACGATGCATGATTGGGTGCAACGAAGAAGTGCGGTCCGGGACTCGCATGCCAAGACTCCTATCAAGGGGGGAATCTATCCCTTTTCCCCTAGAATCCCATATCAGGTTCTTGAAATTGATCCAGAGCTAATGCAGGAGCTAGGATTAGTGGGTGCAGAATGAGATTGTGATGCATCGAGTGGGCTGGCTGATGGTTCATTTCCGGGCATTGTGGTACTTAAAGCTGGCCCCCTTGATGTCGCTGGCCACTCCGTTATGACTCTGTAGATAATAGTATAACCGCAATATGGCTTCGCTGGTCAATTCCCTCGTCAGCGCCCTGACAGGCACCTCGAACGGTATCTGCTCCGTCCTGGCCGATCATGGCTTTCAGGTCGAGTATCCGCTCTCGCTGTCGTATGCCCACGACCTGACCAACTACTGGTCGGCGGCATGCTCGGATCTTCATCCCGAATGCATGGTTGTCCCAAACAATGTCCAGGAGATGTCGGATGTGATCACCGCGCTGGGGTACACGCAGGACCAATTTGCGGTGAAATCGGGCGGTCACTCGCCTAATCTCGGTTTCTCAAGTACGCAGGGCGGATTGCTGATCGTCACGAAGAATCTCGATCAGGTGGTGTATGACCCATCCACCCAGACGGCTGTAATTGGGCCGGGGCAGAGATGGGAGGATGTGCAGGGGAAGTTGGAGGGAACAGGACGGGCAGTTGTCGGCGGGAGGTTGGGAGGTGTAGGTGTTGGAGGGTTGCTTCTAGGAGGTGAGATTCGATTCTGTTCTCATATGAATCTGGTTCTGAGCAGATGAAAAGGTGGTCTCAGCTACCTCAGCCCGGAGTATGGCTGGGCAGCGAACAATATCCTCAACTACGAGGTCGTGCTGGCAAACGGCACGATCGTCAATGCAAATGCAAACGAGAACTCGGATCTCTTCGCTGCCTTGAAAGGTGGAGGCAGCTCTTTCGGGGTCGTCACTTCGTATACCGTCCAGACACGCCCGATGGATCATCCCGTTTGGGGAGGAAATTACATCTTTTCTGGTGTTGATACGGCGAAGATGCTTGCCACTGTGCAGAACTTTGTCGAGTATTACCCGGATGAGAAGGCTTCAATTATTGTGACCAGGGAGCACGCGCCAGCGCTCGATATCTGGGTCATGTTCCTCTTTTATAATGGAGAGAAGCCCCCGGCAGGTATCTTTGACAACTTTACTGCCTTGCATCCAATCGATCAAACCCGGACATATGACCGTTATACCGATCTGGTGGGTGATAAATCAATTTGTAAATGCACTGCCCATGCTGACCCGACTCGAACAGCTTAAAAATGGCGATAAATATATCCTTCAGTAAGTTGTGAGTCCGGAAATACTCGTTCAGCACTGACGCCATGTAGCGGAAGCCGATACAGCGTTGCTGGTGAAACCATTCCCGTCCCAAAAGACATGTCGCCCGAGGTCTTGCAGTCCATCTTTGATTTTTGGCTTGACGTAAACAACGAGGTATTGCTGGAGACCGGCATGGTGGGAACCATCGACTTCCAGCCCTTCCCACGGAGCATCGCACAGAAAGCCTTGGAGCTCGGAGGAGTCAGTCGTTTCCCAATCATTTCAAACCAACCGCTGCTGACCGAAATTCTAGGATCTGCTTGACTTCCCCCCAGACCAGGACTATATTCTCCTTCAGATCACCCTGCAGTGGACGCTGGGGCTGTCCGATGCTCGGATGCACGATGCCACGCAGAAGCTCTTCAAAGGATTTGGTCGCTTGATTACGGAGCACATTGCTAATGGAACCCTGCCGAATGTTTATCGTCCGTTGTATATGAATGATATAGGCGCTGACCAAGACTACTGGGGTCGACTGAGAACACGCGATCAGGCCCTGCAGACGAGACTCAGGTATGATCCTGCAGGATTCTTCCAGACACGGACCAGTGGGTTTCGCTTGTCTTGATAGATAGAGAGATAAATGTATTAGTTGCGATACTGTGGTATTAGCAATGAAATTTCGATCTAGTAATTTTGCATCGTCAGGTCAACAAGTGCTTCATGTAGCGATGATACATTTTTCCTGTCCAGGAAGAGTGAAGAAGCAAGAGAGAAAGGCTTAAACAGTGCCTTGAGCAGCCTTGCCCTTTTGGGAATAAGGCTAGTCACGCGTTGAGTCTCAGCCTCGTTCAATTTCGCAGTCTCAGCTCGCGTCTCCTCGAACTTTTTCTGATACTCGTTTGACTTTTGCGACATGCGCAAATCAGATCATTCATTTATGATTTTACTGGGTCATGGGGAACAGACGGCCCTCAAATGGTTTGTCCAACGACATGTGGAACGAGATACGAGGTTTGCTCAAAGAGCAAAATGAACGCCTCCGTATCCAAAATAGCCTGCTCCAGCAGCTTCTTCCTGATGGGGATAAAGCCACTGGGACGGGTACGAATGAATATAATCTCCCAGATGGCGATAAAAGGAACCAGTCCATCGAGGATGCGCCCCAGCTCGATGGAAGGAACAAGTCACAACCCTCTCTGAAATCCTGCCTGAAACGTGACGACAGTGACTCTGAGTTTCAAGGTCAAGGACAGACTCTTCTTTATGCTGCAGATGAAACGCTCAAGTATCCTCGCGCCTACTATTTCGTCGATGAGGGGCATCGACCCCGTCTCCACAGACTGTCAACAATCTTGAGCGCTGACACCTCATGGAAATACTGTGAGTACAGAGAACCAATCATCTTCGTTTTCGAGAACATCGATCTGACGTACGCCAGGGAAGCCTATTGCCCCCGCAGGAATATCCCATCCGGGGCAGTATCAGTCCTATCCCGGAGCAGGATACCCTGACTATATTCCCGAATGGGAGATTAAGCGTACCAGCGATGGATGGTGCCATATCGATGGTGKGAGATTGGGAGACGAAGTTCATGTTCCGTCCGACTGTCTTTACAGTGGAAAAGCACAATTGGTTCCTTATTCTCTCAATTGTAGCACTTCCATTCCATCCAAATGGGTACGTGAGTCAGGCTCAGATTTTGATGGTGGTTTTGGGAAGAACATGGTCGACACGATACAACTGCTATTGACATCACTGGGAAATCTTTACGCTGTGCCATGCGACGGCAGAGTGCAGTTCGTGTTTGATCGATGCCACCTGAGGAGTCTCAGCTCCTCTGGTCTGAGTTCGCACTTGGAGCAGCTCCAGTTATTCTTTAAGACATTAGAGGTAAGCAACGGTCGTGTTCAGATTGTTGATCTGGACGACTGGATGCAGGCGGCCATATATGAGCGGGTCACTGCATACCCTGAAGAATGGAAAGTAATACTGAGGAGTAAGGATCCAAGGATTTTGGCCGTCCCTGCCTTGGAGGGAGACCTCCGCAAAGTCAACATCCGACCAACGCGGTTTTACTACACGAGCGGAAACGGTAAGCCAACGGAGGTCAAGTGGAGGGAAACGGGCCATTGGAATCGCATTATTAGCTGCGTTGGCTTGAACGCTGTAGCGCCATCGTTTGAGTATGGATTTGACGCGCTCTGTCATCTACTCTTTCGGAGTTCTACTGGCGAAAAGTTTCAATACGCCAATCTAGTGCCAGGGATTCTGAGGACACATATTTCCTGTGTTAAACGGAGGAGATCGCGCAATGACTCGGCTGATGCGCCCGAGCCTTTCCACATTACTTGGTGCCGAATCGATGACACAAAGCCGTCAAGTAAGTCGACATGGAGGTCTGGAGAGCTGTACGGGTCAAAGGCCTCAATAAGCAAGCTGTATTTGTCCGAGGTCGCCTTCACATTAGGATTCATACCATCGCAACGGACCCTCTGGTCAAATACTCAGACTGGAAAGACAGAGACTGTGGATCGCAGTCATTGGTGTCTTATACATCTAGCACCATCGCACTTTTGCCGCTTAGATGATTCGATTCACTGTCGCAGACAGGATGACCCACGGACTGCCCCATTCACCACAGCAATCACTCTGATAGAAGAGGCACTGCAGCACGCGGCCAACGATTGGGACCGGATTGCCAACCACTTTGACCTTGTTCTGAACCAGAACGATAGCGTTTTCAATCCTGATCTTCACGATCGCTTCCTGTTCGATGATGCTTCGTTTTCCCGATCACGGTACTATTTCTGGCTGATGGACAGTCTAGAGGGCTTCACATCCGCTGTATCCGATGCCATTCATGAGTGGGAGGTATACTGGTGGGCCAGAAAGGACGTCTTTGAAGACTACGAGGCCTTCTATCTGGACAAGTGGCAGAAAACCAAGGTTGAACTGGGATCTCCCAAGCCCCCTCAAAATCCCCCTCTACTGAAAGATTCAGTCAAGAGGGTAGAAACGCACGTTGCACGGTTGAGAGAAATATTGAGCCGGTTCGAAACTTTGCGCGATCGAACTATGACCTTACGAGATGGAGTAAGTACCGCTTGTTCGCGTTCCACCTATTTGCTAACTTACAGTAGCTATTCAATGCAAGCGCTGTCATCGAATCGCGGGCTGCTACCCAGGTTGGTGAAAACGTCAAGCTGCTCACATACGTGAGCATATTCTATCTCCCACTAAGTTACTGCGCTGCTTTATGGAGTATTAACCGAGATTTCAACCTACTGGCATTCACCATTGTTACTGCTCTTCTGGCTCTGGGCACGTATGCTCTGGTGCTGAACCTAAACAATATTGTGTTTCTGATCAGGAAGGCTTACCGAAAGCTGCGTACCCCTATATTGGAAGCGATGAAAGATGACCCGCATGAACAATGGGCCAATTTGAGCAGCTCTTTCAGTGGATTCATGCCCGAGAGGCATGGTGATCAGCCCTCCGAGTGGACCGTTCTGCTGTACGCACTATTGAGGGGTACAGAGAAGTTAAAATTCTGGAAAAGAGTTCACTCCAATCCGATTAATGATGGGCTCAAACGAAAGTGACGCTGATCTCTATAACAAAGACAAAAGGACGTTTTTGTCTAAAAGCCAACTGTCACCTGATATCCCTGACCTGTCGTCCGAACGTTAAAGTTCGCCTTTCCAACGCAATCTCCATACTCGTACGGCTTGTCCAACCGACCCGGTCCGGCTCCCTGAGTGCTCGTCGTAGGCGCTCCAAACGTCACATTGGTATACGGGAGCGAGCTACAGCTATGGCTCGGCATGGCGTTCCACGGATAATACTCAACGAAGCCAACCTGGCTGCTTTTGATTCCTCCAGCACCACGCGGCAATGTGTACGACCCGACATGTGTCGACTTCCCGCTCGCGGTGTTGACCAGGGTTCCCGTCCAGGTGGTGCCGCCCGTGTTCTTGACGACTAGATGATAGAGTGGAGAATATGGTGCTGGAATTTCCACACTGCAGCTGACACCTGCACCGCCGTCTGCGCCAAGGTGGCAGTTTGCGTCGTTGGTCGTGGTTCCGGGCGCGAAGGAGGAGAAAACACCGTGGACGATGCTTGAACCGGAGGCATCCGGACGGGGCTGCAAACCGGTGTACCCGATATCAGAGAGACCGTTGAAGCCGAATTGCTGTGCGAAATAGAAGCCTGACTTATGAGGCGCATCGGGCATCGAGATGGGAAATGTGATGTCCTTCAGACCAGAGGAGGGAATGTTGGAAACGCTCCAGCTCAGACCAACGAGGGCCTGTGTGAAGGGGATAATAGCAAGAATGACGGCTGTCTTCATTTTGAGAGACTGGGTATATTGAGGAGAAATTACTTAGGAAAATTAAACACAACCGAATATGAGCTTCGCACTCATCCCTAGGATTCTGAGTCGAACAATTTATACCTGTGATTCTGGTCTCTGTTCCAGCAATTACCTTTGAGACTTGTCACCGCGTATCCACAGTTCACGATGTGCCGCTCGCCAAATCAATAGCCGATGTCGATCATGGGGATCGGCATGTAAGGGATGTTCGTGATGTTCCACGTTGAAGCAACATTGTCTTTAGCGAAACAATCACGTTACATTCAAAAGTTTACAATCTGGGCAGTTCGCGTGCGGCTTCCTTTATTTTCGATGATGGTGACACACGGGATCGCTCGTCTCGTAAAAAATTGTACACTGACTCTGACGGCGGTTTTACTTCTGTTTCAGAAGAAGAGGGGCAAGCCGAGCAACATCAATTAACAAATCAATTACGTACCAGAAGAAGTTGATATTGAGATTCGACAGGCTGCAATCACTGGAAAGATCGTTAGATGGCTGTATACTGTATCTCAGGGGAACCCCCGAAGCACCAACTCAGATGTGCTTCCTCGATCAATAAATGCCATTTCTCAACTGCAAATGCGGCTGGCGCTCACAATTTATCAATAGTATCATGCGCCTTGAGAAGATCTGTAGATCTCACCACAACTTATGGTCTCGGACTCGATGGAAGTTTGCCGCTAACAAGGCTGCAGATGGTTGAGGATCGCACGAGACAGCGCATGATCCGGCCGATGCATGGCCACTTCAGTTAATCAATACCTTTGTGAAAAAGATATAATTGGATTGTCTGCGCGCTTATTCTCAGTACATGCCTATCATGAGAAGAGAGATCCTCGCCCAAGCGGCTACTGCGGCCTCATGATTGGCCCTAACTTAACGAGGCAATGGTTAGGCCTCGATCTGAGATATTTGAATGCTCAACTTGGCTCTATAGTTAGGTTACTTTCAGGAAGTCGAATTTATACTTGATAGCTGTCAACCGCACGACAGAAGAGCCATATTTACTAGATTTTGTCAGGACAGCCCATTCAAGCCCCGAACCCAAACATAGCTTGGAAGTTCTCTGCCATTGCTCTTTACAAGCCATTCAGAAATGCGGCCTCAACACCGCGACGAGTTTGAAATTGCCATTATCTGCAGCTTATCCTGTGAAGCTGAGGCAATCGAGGCATCGCTGGACGAGGTCTACGACCGATTCGGTGAGATCTACGATAAGGAACCCGAGGATCGCAATACCTATATAAACGGACGCATTGGCAAGCACAATGTGGTTTTATGTCAGGCGCCAGAGGCGGGGAAATGCAGCTCAGCGAGCGTAGCTTCGAGCCTGATGTTCAGTTACACGGGTGTCCAGCTCGCCTTGGTCGTGGGGGTATGCGGCGGTGTTCCGTCGCCGTCCTGCAGTGAGAGAAATATCTTCCTAGGAGACATTGTCATTGCGGATAGTGTGATTGAATTTGATCTTGGAGAGCAGTGTCCTTGGGGATTCCAGCGGACAACGGGCGTTAAGGATGTCCTTGGAAGGCCGAACAGGGCAATACGAACTCTCTTAAATGCTCTATCGACGGATGGAAACTGCAAGCTAACGGAGGAGGAGAGTGCTGGTTTTTTGGAAGAGCTACAGTCTCGAGGATGTCCAAAGTGGCAGTATCCCGGGGCATCAAAGGATATCCTTTTTTCGTCTGCATATCGACACCAGCATCGCCGACGGTCAGAATCTCTCGAGTATGTTTGCATTAACAGCGTATCTGAGAATACGCTCTGTGGAGACGCACTGGAGGGAGAATGCCATATCCTTGGATGCGATGAGCAACAAGTCCATCGCCGCAGATCCGGCGAAAAGACAGTCAAGCCTGCAATTCATATTGGGATGATCGCATCAGGGGACACGGTAATGAGGTCGGGAGAACATCGTGACCGGATTGCGGAGACGGAGGAGGTAATTGCTTTTGAGACCATCGGAGCAGGCGTGTGGGATACACTTCCCTGTGTGATAATCAACGGCGTATCCCACTATGCTGATGGCCATGAGAATAAAGTATGGCAAAACTATGCTGCAGCAATAGCTGCCTCTGGTGCTAAAGCGTTTCTGCAGTACTGGGCACCGAGTGCGAAAGCTAGTAAGTCAGGAGAGGACAAGGTATTGCTGCGTATGCTGACCCACTTATAGAATCTCGACGGGCCCAAAGTATCCATTCAAGAGTGCCAGTGCTTCAAACGGTCTTTACAGGTCGAGAGATGGAAATGAATGAGATGAAAGAAGAACTGGGGGACCCCAGGCAGGGAAGAAAAGGGGTAGTGCTCCGGGGACTTAGTGGATACGGAAAAACGCAGTTGGCCGTCCATTACATTTCTGTGAAAAGAACGCTGTATGACTCCATATTGTGGATCGATTGTTCGTCTTGGGACGCTATCCATGAATCCTTCTCTCAAATATGGCGGAAGATACGAGGATGCATGGACGACGAGGCATCCCCAATTGAGCCGGTGTTGGAGTGGCTGGAGCAAGAAACAAATCCGGCTTGGATCATGGTGTTTGACGGAGTCGAGATGCCGGATACTTCAACAGCTACGAATATCGACATTAGGAAATATTTCCCCTCATGCAATCATGGGCATGTCCTGTTGACAACCGTATCGCCGTACTTGCACTCTCGGCTGGGCTATCGAGGCATACGGGTACGAGGTGTGGACGAGGACGCAGGTGCTCACATACTACTACGTTGCGCAGGCGTTGAAGAACCAGACTCTCCAGGTAAGTCTACGGCGGGTTATATGCGTCGCATGGTATTGATCTGGCTCTTTAGCTGTGCAAACAGCCAAGGCAATTTCTCGCAAAGTTGGCGGAGTGCCTCTTGCCTTGGAACAAGCGGGATCCTTCCTACGATGTGGATTATATTCCTTGCACGAGTTCAATCGGAGGTTTCAAGAAGAGTTCGCCAAGTCGACCTTCAAAACACCGCTATTTAATTTCATCGGAGCATACGAAAAGGGACATACGTTGTGGACGGCATTGGAAAAGATGTACAATGATGCAGGCCAGCGAAGTCCCGATTCGATCAAGCTGCTCCATCTGGCTGTGTTCCTTGGCCCCGGACTAATACCGTCCTCTCTGATCTCGTACCCACCAGTTGATGATAACAAGTCCTCGGTGTTATTCAACTCATTGTGTGTATTGGAATCGGCTGATACGTCGTGGTTGAGAATCATAAACCGGCTAAACAGCCTACGGTCACGGGTGACTGATTTCGCAAATGCGCTTCGAGCTCTGGAGGATTCCGGCCTTGTAAGCCTCAATCGCAAGCGATCAGATTCTGTGATTGAGAGCTTTGAAATCGATGCTGTGGTCCGTTCCTTCGTTCGACTGAAACTGTCTTGCTATAATCTGCGGGACAATGCAGCCGTTGCCTTTCTTCTCAATGGACAGTCATGTGCCAGTATAGACGCACAATCTCTGCTGGAAATACCTCAGGAGCATCTGGGCCGCTTGAGCACCGTTCTTGACGATTTTATGTCATTGATGCCGCCAGAGATGATTCAAGCTCCTCATGGCAAGTATTTCAGGCTTTGTGGCTCTGTTGCGTCAGTATACGCACGAGTAAGTCGACTGAATGGGAACTATGAGACATCCAAGCGTTTGTGGGTGCTGGCACTGCAGTATATAGCTTTGTCACAGGGAGCAGGATCGCCTGCAAGTGGAGCGAAGCTGGAGGAGATTAACGCAGCTGCAGACACTCTTGTGGTTGTAGACGAAAGTTCCGTCGAGGGAGCCTGGAAGCAAGCCTGCGCGAGTGTCACATTGTCTCTGGCAGCGCGTGTAAGAAAGGCGGTTTTGAGAAGCAGAGCATTACGACATGACCTTGTGACTGGACCTACGTCCTCATCAGGTGAAATCGAGGAAGTTCTGAAGGATTTACAAGGTGATTTTACCTAGTGATGTTGGTGAGGAGAGGCTTTACTAAACCGCAATTATCATTCGGTTGGTTGCTGTGGAGCAGTATGTGGGACGTTGGCAAATTAGGGAGTCAGTAACTCCAACTATCTCAGTGCCATTTGCTTGACCTGCATAGGATGCTAAGAATGAAGGGATCTGCAGGGTCGGGAATCGAGGATAGAGCCCATTGATGATCTAAGCCGTGCATTTTGATGTCTCTTAGTATTCCCGGACATGTGTTCTCTCAATTATGTCCTATAGTTTATGTAGGGAGACAATCTGAAGGGCATACCCCATCATTCCATTCCTTCACTGCGCCGAATTAGCCTTCTGCACATTTGATAGCCGCCGTAGGACCTCCTTTTGGACATCCTGGACAATTCTCTCTGCGTCTTTCACATCATGAATCAGCCCAGTCGCAGCACCAGCATACGTCGCCAGTCTCCCCTCCGGTCCCCACCCAGCATCTCCCGTCTTGAGAGCCTCATCATAAAGTTTCTTCAGCTCATCGAATGGCCGACCCGCCTGATGCTCGGTGAACGACTTGTTGATAATCACCCGAGGACTGTACTGCTCCGGCCAGCCAACCGTACCCCGCAGCTCGTTATACAGCAACGTCCGTGTCGTCGAAACAGCGGCATCACTAGCCCGCACAATCTCCCGCTGATAACCTGGACTAATCCTTGCCTCTGTAGCTGCAAGGAACCGCGTCCCCATCACGACTCCCGTAGCCCCAAGGCAGAGCGCCGCTGCAGCGCCGCGCCCGTCAGCTATTCCCCCGGCCGCGAACACAGGGATATGCGGTGGAAGAGAGTCCATCACCTCCGGGAGTAGTGCCATGAGTCCGAGACCGTCTTTTACCCGGCCGTGTCCGCCTGACTCTGCTCCTTGCACGACAATCACGTCTGGTTCTTCGGTGCCCTTTGCAAGTTCCCTTGCCTCAGCTACGGTGCCGATCTGGATCCAGATGCGGGTGGATGGAGATGCATCGCGGATCCGCCGGGACCAGGTATCAATGTCTTTTTGTCCGTTGCGCGGGGCGTAGAGCCAGGCAGCGCAGGGCTGGTATTTGCATATAGTGGAGACGGCGACGTCGACGTCATCGCTCCAGAGTTGGAAGCCGACGCCTACGGGGAGAACGGGTTGACTTTGTAGTACAGACGGCTGGGCTTGGGAAGCGGAGGTCTGTTTGATCAAAGTCAATGCTTCCTCAAGATCAGCGGCGATATCTTGAGTCTTCACTCCCGGCCCGATGAATCCCAGTCCGCCAGCGCGGGAGACAGCAACCGCCAGTGTGGGGCCGGCCACTACCCGCATCGGGGCGCTGACGATCAACGGTGTCTTCATCCATGGGTAGGAACGGGAGATGGTTGTGACGAGTTGAGACATCTTGTTCGTTGATTTCACAGTAAATGACTTTTTTCCGAGAGGATATACGTTATGCTGTCAGCTCTACGTGAGTCACAATAAGTAACACGAGAATAGCAAACTGTCCCAAAGCCGAGGATAAAGTCAGGCAATCCACTGGGGAGCGGGATCAGCGGATATGATTTGTCATTACTCCGGGATCATATGTACCTAGGTAGAACCCTAAGGTAACAGCTCGTGTAAAAGATGACGTTATCTCAGCGCATTTGACTGCTGGACAGACCGGAGCAGACCGTTCTAGGAGGTGATACGCTTTTTTTCCATGTCGGATGCAGCGTGGGTGAACGAATTATTCTATCTGTCACCGACAGCAGTGCAAAACTTGCTGATACCGAGCAAGAGGAAATCACCGGCTAAACGCAGAAAAACAGAGCATAGAATCTGTGTGTTCGTTTTCAGGAGAAAGTTCATTGATTAGTCCTCTAATGCAAATCAATTGATATATACCTTCTCAAACATCCTCCACCTCTCCTCCATCAACCCCTTCCACTTCTCATCCTTATCCAGATTCAGAAACCTCAACGCATTCCCCGCGAGAATCTCAGCCCGCTGCCTCCAAGACAAGAATCCCTCTAACCGTCCATCCTTCGCAATCATCCTCCCAGCTTCCGGTACCTCCCCAAGCGGAAATGGATAATCACTCCCCATGATCATCTTATGCGCCCCAACCTTCTTTACCAAATACTCCAGCAACTCAACATCATGCGTCAAACTATCAATCCAGATATTCTCACGCACAGTCGCATGCTCGGTGGGAGTGACACCTCCCGCATCCCCCGCCACCAGGTCCGGCCGACAGTCATACCCATGCTGAATCCGCCCTAGTAACGCAGGGAACGATCCTCCCGCATGCGCGAAACACAGCCTCAGTTTCGGGAACTTCAGCAGCGTCCCGGAGCAGATCAGCAGATGCAGCGCTAGCGCCGTCTCGCACGGCATCCCGATGAGCCAGCTACTCCAGTACTTTGCCCAGCGGCGCGGGTTCTCCTTCGGCCAGGTGTAGCCAAGCGGATGCACGAAGACAGGCATGTTCAGCTCCTCGCACGCAGCCCAGAACGGATGCAGGATTGGATCGTCGAGCGTGACTCCGTCGATTGTGGTTCCGATCTCGACGCCGTGCAGGCCTAGCTCGCGCTTTGCGCGGTGCAGCTCTGCGACCGCGGCGGGGACGTCTTGTAGCGGGACGGTTGCGAGACCGAGGAACCGGGTTGGGTGTTGTCGACAGACGGAGGCGATGTGGTTGTTTAGGTGTCTAGCTAGGACGGTCACGGGGGCGGAGGGCTGGTCGTAGAAGAAGAGGATGGGGATCGTGCTGAGGACTTGCACGTCTGTCCCTGCGGCGTCCATCTCGGCGAGTCTTGTTGCCGCGTCGTAGCAGTTTTTCTCGACGGTGCGGAAGAAGCGGTCGCCTATGTACATATCTACTTCGTCTGGATTGGTGGGGTTTGGGCGGAGGGTGAGCCATGGTGATTCTGAGGCTGATGCGGTGGATGAATCTGAGTCTGACGATGATGGGGGAGGAGTATTGCAGGGATATGAGGAGAGGTCGGGCAACGAGGGGGGCATAATATGGGTGTGCATGTCGATGCGGAGGAGGGGGTGGTTTGTACAACAGCTTCCCATTTTGATGATCTGCTGACGGTTAATTATTATGATTATAACGAAGACGTTATTGATGACGATGCCGATGAAATTGGAGAAGAAACAGATTAGATACCCCAGGTATCTACGATCCGTATTATATGCGGGGCGTATACGGATCCCATCCGGATAGCATCCGATGGATTGATAAATAGCCAGTAGACATCATCGGACATGCATGACAACCAGCCCTCCTGAACAACATGAACAAACTTAATCCCTTGTCCTGGGTCACCTGGCTGGCCGAAAATGAAGACAAATTACGACCCCCGGTCAACAACTTCTGTCTCTATCAGGGGAATGATTTTACCCTGATGGCAGTGGGAGGACCCAACGAACGAAATGACTATCATGGTACGATTCTTCTCGATATGAAAGCTTCGTAACTGACAGCTCTAGTTAATGAAACCGAAGTATGTTCCAACAGCATAAGCTGAGCTAGACTAATTGGCAGGAATGGTTCTACCAAGTCAAAGGCGACATGCTTCTCCGGATCATAGAGAACGACACATTCCGCGACATCTCTATTAAAGAGGGCGAGATGTTCCTTCTTCCAGGTATGTATTCCAGACCTCCAATCGATCATGCTGACACAGGTAGGAAACACACCCCACAACCCCGTCAGATACAAAGATACCGTCGGTATGGTCATGGAACGACAGCGACCGGCGGATTCTCGTGATAGACTGAGATGGTACTGTACCAAGGGGAATCATTCCTCGCCTACGATCATCCGCGAGGAGGTCTTTCACTGTTCGGATCTTGGGGCACAGCTGACGCCAATCATTGAGAGGTGGCAGCAGGACGAGGAGAGTCGACGATGCGGGGAATGCGGTTGTATTGCAGATCCCAAGTGAACCTCATTACACATAGTTTCTTCGAGGCCAATGAATGTGATGCTGTACACGGATCAATCTCCGTATCCGCTCCCGGACCCATTGAGAATGCGGGGTACGGATCTATCCATCGATGCACCAATAGATAACGTCCACTGTAGAGAGGACGGATTCACTTCCGCATATTATATCGCTCAGGAATATCCTACAATAACCTACATGTCATGGATAAGAATACACGAGTAGAGATAATGACTCAACCATGGGATTATGCTTCAATTGAAGAGGCCGAGTCTCTCCTCCAACAATCGGCCTTTGAACCCTTGCAAGTGCAGAACCTCATCAATGGCGCCCCCACAGCCTCGACTAGCAACGAGCGGATAGACTCCTTTAACCCGAAAACGGGGCAAATATTCGCTCATTTTCCAAATAGCTCAGCTCAGGATATCGAAAACGCAGTCCAAGCCGCGGAGACCGCCTTCGCGTCATGGTCGCAGACTCCCCCGTCGAAGCGCGCCGTGCACCTGAATCGCATCGCGACGCTGATTGAAGAACGCCGTGAACTCTTCGCTGTATGGGAGAGTATCGACCAGGGGAAGACGCTGGCGCGGGCAAGGGTGGAGATTGACCGCGCAATCTCTAACTTCAGGTACATCTGCATGGAAAACATGGTGAATGAAGCTAACGACCCAGGTACTTTGCGACATACATCCTACAACAAAGCACCGCTGCGCGCTGGGCGGACGATAATGTGCTGACGTACGAGCATCGCTCCCCGATTGGCGTCTTTGCGCTCATCTCGCCGTGGAATATGCCGCTGTATTTGTTGACCTGGAAGATCGCGCCGTGTCTGGCGTTTGGGTGTACTGCTGTTGCGAAACCGAGCGAAGTCACCAGCGTATCCGCATATTGTAAGTTCTCTGTCAGGATTTTGTTGCCGTGCTAAGTGGATAGTGCTTGGAAAGGTAATCCAAGATGCTGGACTGCCGCCCGGTGTTCTGAATCTCGTCTACGGGGCTGGTAATCCCACCGGAGCGGCTTTGGTCAAGCATCCCCGTGTCAAGGGTGTTTCGTTCACCGGTGGTACAGCGACTGGTATTCAGATCCGTCGGGATACGGTCGAGGATATAGGGAAGCATATTTCGCTTGAACTAGGCGGGAAGAATCCTACGCTAGTCTTTGAGGACGTCGACCTTACTGCCGCTGTTACCACGGCCGCAAGGGCAGCATTTGAGAATCAGGGAGAGGTATGGAGCACTCACCTTACCAAATACACCTGGTAAAACTGACTAGACAGATCTGCCTGTGTGGCTCGAGGATCTATGTCCAAAAATCCATCTACGACGCCTTCCTGTCCCGTTTCGTCGACTATGTCAAGGAGCACTACGTCCTCGGCAAGACCGTCGGCGCCGTCGTCTCTCTCGCCCATTACCGCAAAGATTCTTTCGTATCTTTCTCTAGCCACTCAATACCCGGATAGCTTCAAGCTCGGCTCTGTGCCTCCGGAGACACCGGACGGAGGCTACTGGATCGAACCGACCATCCTTACTGTTCCTGACGACAGCCCAATCATGAAGGATGAGATATTCGGCCCAGTTGTAACGGTCAGCTCGTTCGAGAGCGAAGAAGAGGCAATAACGCGCGCCAATGACAGCCAGTATGGGCTAGCGAGTATCCTTCTGACGCGGGACGGAGCTCGCATGCGACGGGTCGGCGAGCGACTTGACGCAGGAATGGTGTGGGTGAATTGCTGGMTGGTTCGCGAACTGGGCACGCCCTTCGGGGGGATGAAGGCGTCTGGAACAGGACGCGAAGGGGGAGAGTATAGCCGGGATGTATTCACTAATGTGCGGACGTTGCATATTCCTTCCGTTTAGTCTGTCTAGGTCTAGATACATGGTCTCATATCTCAACAATTGCCGTACACTTAATCTCCACCAGTAACCTCGGATTCGGCAGCTCCTTAACTCCAATCGTTGTTCTGGCCGGCGCATTCGCCCGATCCGGCCAGACCTTGTTCCACTCCTCGTTCATCCCGCTGTAATTCTGCGGCAGGTCGATCAGGAAAACCGTTGCGTCGACGATATTTTGCAGCCCGCCGCGGCCGTCCGTCGCGCCTTGGATGATACTCTCGATGTTACGGAGTACTGCGGCCGTCTGCGCGTGAATGTCAAGCGTCCAGGTGCCGTTTGCGTTTTCGATCACGCCGTCCCAGGTGCCGTCGCCGCGGCGGGAGGAGGTGCCTGAGACGTAGAGTGTGCGGTGCGCGGTTATGGGCGCGAAGCGCGCGTGAGGGTAGTTTGCTAGGCCTTGCGCCTTTTCGGCGGGTAGAAAGTAGGGTGTTCCGTTGGACATTTTGTGGTATTTTAGATCTGATGTTGGGAAGAGATGATCGTGGAAACAGACCGAGGTTACGGTTGGCTTATTATGTAGATCGCGGAACCGGATCCGCCCCGGATGTTATCCGGATAGTGCGGGGATGATGTTCGGCATTGGGACAGTATAATTAGCAAGACTCCAGATAAATATATTGTTCATTAATACCGATTTATATTTCTATGTGGTTTTAGTCTGCACACTGCCACGATGTATATGGCAAGCTGGCAAGCGCAAAGATCAGAATTGCGCTCGTGGCTGATGAGCATCATTCAGGCCAACATGAGGTTTATGTAGTTTGGGATTGGGCCTCTCGAACTCCAAGCGCATTCCAGGGATAGGAAGTGGTCGCCGCTTGATCTGTATCAGTCTCGGTACACATAGTTCCGCCTGATCAACCGACGCCCGGTGCCCGGTGGGTGCAAGAGGCCGTGCAAATGCTGTATGCGGTTGGAGGCTACGCCTCGGAAGAAACGACCTCTGTTAGATAATAACTGTACTGCGAGGGTCCGTAAGACCTCGTCTATACGCCTGGACAAGGTGATCCTGTTGACAAGGGCTGATAATGAATGATATGGATGACGACGGACCAGAGCGATTCGCTCCCTTACTGGAATGCGAGTAATGTGCGAACAGGATTGTGGCACTTCATAGATAGCTCATATGGCTGATTGATTGTTGAATGCCAGACGGACTGAATAGGTCTTTGCTGGCCGAGCGTGACAGGCGTGGTCATGCAAACGATGATCCGGCCCACAAGGAGCAGGATGGAAGTGGACTATTAGCTTGTCGTATGTCGACGTCGGTATTCCAGGTGCAGCTCTGGAAAAGCCATCATGCTACACGACGGTTCCTGTGCAAGACATCCTGAGAAGTGATGCTCGCGAAATTTGCCACGGAGTGACGACCAACTCGGGCGACTAGTGACGCCAACAGTGCTGGACCATGGTTTATACACCCACGACTATGGACAGACAGACTTCGAGGGCGAAGGTGCTGCAGGCCGAGACGGTTACATTGGCCGCGGTGGTCTCATTACTTGAAAACCCTTCTCCTTGATCTTCTTCGGTTTGAACCGCTCGGTGGAACTTCGTTTCCAATTCAAGAAAGTCTGTCGACTCGACTGGCCCTTGTCCGTGCTTTCATTTGAGGACTCTTGTGACTGCGCTGGAACACCAGGAGGCCGGCCATAATACAAATCCGATTCACGGACTGAATAGTCGACGCCTGACTTGCTCGGCAACTGTAACAGCTCGTCGAAGGCGTCGCTGGAATGTTGCGACGAGTTGGAATCTGTCTGCGCTGAGTGGGACGACTCGATGGCTGAACCGACCGAATCAGAGTCGGCGTTCTCGTACTCATAAGAAGTGACTCTGCCATTGAGAGATCGTGGAGGCCTGTAAAACGTTGAGGCCTCTGGTGAATATGGCGCTGTGGCTACTGGCAAAGTGGGAGAGTTCGGCATATCCGGGCGGTCTTCAAAGCCTCTGTACATTCTGCGCGAGGAACCTGGACGGTAGCGATCGGAGATGCTGTCAAAAGTATTGACGTCTAGATTTTTCCCGTCTAGTTTCCGGCGTTTGTCGCTTGGGCTTGGGAGCTCGGCTAGGGTCAAATGCTGGACACAAGTAAGCTCGCTGAAATAGAAAAGGCAGATTCGGGACTAACCGGAACTGTACTTGAACCCACCCATCGATCGCAGGCAAACCTACGATCGGGTCCTTTAACGGCGAACCGTCCTATATGCCAGAGCGAGATGAACAAAAAGCCGAACACTACTACAACACCATGGAGAACCAAGATGAAATAGCCCATCCATTGCCTTGTTATCTCGTGAGACGGGCACACAAAGGCAACACTCAGGATGAGCGTCAACAAGCGGACAGCAGTACACCAGGCACTTTTCGAAAGGATAGATTTCGTCCGTCGCTGAAGAACGAGATGGGCGAGAATGACCACTTCGCATCCGCCGAGCAGGAGTAGCTGTACCCAGCCCCAGAGCTGCAGACCGCCGATGGCTAGACCCTGAATGAGGGGAAGGCAGTAAAGAAGATAATGAGCGATGTACTCCATGGAGGTCTGAACCCGAGGGGAAGCCCTGGAAGAGTCGTGATCGGATCTCCTCGACTTCTGTATCGTCTCATAGCGAGCGACGAAGAGGTTTGAGCCAACGAGGACCGCAATCATCAAGACCATCAGACAAATGCGGTAACTGGGCAGGTATCCGACGAGGACAAATGGATACGCTAGATACGCCAAGAGAGGGAGGCTGAAGAACAGAAGCGTGACGCCCACAATGCTACGACTTGCTTCTGGGATTTGCGCAAGGGCAGAATGGAATGTTACGCCATGCCGCCATCCACAGTCGATGAGCCATACCACCAGCACTACGATCACGATCGCAGATACGACAATGCACAGATTTATCAGAGCGTCGAACATGATATCCAACATGGAGGGAAATCCGAGATTCTGCGCCATATACTCCAGTCCAAAGGTACCGTTGGTCGCGTAAATTCCGTCTTGTATTCCGGGATACGTGAAGCCATGGTCGATGGGTCCGCTCCAAAATAATAGCGATGACCACGCCAGCTGGCTGACGATAGGCTGGTAGAAACCCGGGTATTCCATCGAGAGGGAACCAAACAGGAAGATGAACTGAAGGTACCGCACGTAGTCGGCCACGTCGACCACAATCTTTCTTATTGAATCCTGAGGTGCGGGTGCGGTTGTGATTCTGTGCTCGGGCACTGAGCGTCTTCTCTGCTGGCTGTGTCTGCACCACGAAGCTATGCCCACCAGGAGGATGATGGCGGCTGGAAGATAGGTAAAGGCTGCCGAGGCAGCAGTTCCAATATCGGGAGTGATTCGAGCGGCCGTACAGGCAATATTAGTGCCATTGGGTAGACTGAAATCAAATTCCCCGGCAAGGGTATGAAGTGGATGACCATATTCAAGGGAGTAAGTCAATTCCCATTTGGAGACTTGTAGAGCCTCCGGCCTGATGACAGTTCAGCAGAGATTAGAGGAATTCAAGCTCTAAACTTACAGCCTCCAAAAAACTGGAGGAGAATAACACAGCTTTTGAATCCGATCTAGACGGCCAACAGGGTAGCCGAGCACTCGGAAGCGCAAGTCATTCTCTTCCGTCAATTGAACATCGGTACAGGTAACTTGAGATGCATTGTAGACACCCAGCAGGGTTAACGACAATGTCCTTGCATTTTCGGACGTATGAATGCTACCGTCTAGACTGCTAATGTGGAGATTGACGTCCAACGAACGATTCAAGACCGATGTCTCACATGGAAAACGCCGTACAAAAGCACCTTCACACGGTAAGATAAAAACAAAAAGGAAGATCAGAAGCCCATGAAGACAAAATGACCAAGGCAGCATTCTGCTATGGCGGTAACATAGTTTTCTGGCGTTACGGAGTAGACAGGAGAGAGACTGATCATACATGATCCATGTCCATGAGATGGACTCTACGGAGCAGTTTCCCGTCGACAATCAAGCACAGTGTTTTGCCCCTGAAGGGCGAAGTTTTTGCCAGTGGATACACCGGGATCTCCACCGTCTAAAATTATCAACCACTTGTGTTTGACATTTCAAGACCCTTGTGGCTGCCTAGCAAAAGTCTATCCTTCTCTGAACCTTCTTATTGGCTTGATCTTTTGATCTGCAACAATTTAAGGATCGCAGAAGACAGAAGTTGCATAAACTGCATTTTATGTGGAGTACCTCTCTTAGGTGGTGTCACATGATCTCATACAGGCGTGAAGGGGCCAGAGTCACCTGACATTCAGAGTCAGGTGATTAGTCCAACTGCCTAAGGCTCCCAGGCTCCCAGGCTCCCAGGCTGCAAAGCACTAGCCCTATACTTGCAATGACGCTGGCAGAAGATTACAAACGGCCCTTCTGCGATAGTCTAATGACTACTAAAAGGTAGTGTACTTACCACTTCAAGCTCAAGTATGAAGTACTTAACAGATCCCGGATATCCGCAAGTCAGGAACCTCATTCGTACACAACAGCATGACTGGAGAGGCTATGGTTTGCCATACTCCAGTCTAATGTACCTGTGGGATCCATCTTCTCCAATACGGCAATGTTGAGAACCTAGCTCTCCGAGATTTCTTGACATATCGTCCCCAACCACGTTCTCCGTTGATTCCGAGATAATATCGTCAAGCTTTTATCCGACCACATTATTGATGATCCTCGCAACCTCTTACGTACACTCATGTGGGACGATCCTCCTTGAGCGTGGGATGCGGAGTATGGGGTATCCCAGACTGCATGATCAACCTTGACGACATCAGACGAGAACCTCAGCAGTAGCAGTGTAGGAAAATCTTTGGCGCCAAAAGCTCGCATTGTACAGGATTCATTCAAGAAAAGCAACACCGGCCGCAAAGCACTGTGCAGAATTCCAAAGCCTGGGTTCCACCTGCCCAATGTGAAGACAAACCTCCTGTCAGAGCTGAGGAGAAATATGAGTAAAGCCTTCTCGGGCTATACTGGAGATGATCTGCGCCGATGATGAAGGTGGCAATATATGGATCATAATTCTAACGAGCATATACCAGCAGAGCATTAAGTTGTTGCTGATCTGTAGACCATTGACCATTTCCATGAGCAGCATCCGACAAGCGAAACATCTCAGCGGTGAATGCAAGTCTGCATTCCGCAAATGCAGTCCAGTCCAGAGTTCTAGCCATCCCTCGACCATCTGATTTCCGCTAAGGCATCGATTTCAAAGTCTCAAAATCTCTCGCATCCCGGAAGAAAGCGCACCGCATTAATAACAGTAATTCCCAGGTGGTCCCGAGTGAAGTAAATCGGGCCAATGAGGGTGCATGAAAAAAGCGGCTAGATTCGGTTGCGGCGGCAGAGGGCTGAAGTGGAGCCATTCTTGTTACTCAATTGTTGAAAAATCTTCAGTGATGATTGGACAGTGATTACTGTTAGTCACA